TGTGTCTCTTATCATTGAGAAAATATGTCTGTATATTTGTTTTTGTTTATTTTTGTCTATTTTTTGTATTTGTATTTTGTAAATGTCAGCTGGTATCATTCCTGTATTGGAATTTACACCAATAAAATTATTTGATTTGATTTTTGTTTCTCAGTCTTTAGTTTTCAATATTGTGTTTTGTTTACCTTGTTTGTCTTTCGGTCGTTTTTCGTTTTTCGTTTATGCCATAGCATTGTCAGTTCGTTTTCGACTAATGATTTTGACTATCCGTAGCTTTGTTATCTTCTGCCTCTCTGTTACTACATGTACTATGTGAGTAACACTGATGTATTTTACCACTACCGTGTTTATACTACATTTCACATATTAATCAGGTGAATAACATTAAAAATTGGATCCGCCAATTATGAATGGCCGATTACGGGTGCACAGAGGCCAAACGTCTCTAGCTTTTAGGTTAATCGAAAAAAAAACTCATTTTTCAACACCATAAACCCTATTCCAAAGTTAAATGGTCGTTCCCGAGCTTTTGATTTTGCCATTTGATTAGGGACTTTCCGTTTTGAATTTTGCTCGGAGTTCGGTATTTTTATACGACCGCAAAATATTTGGCAAAATAATTATATCTGAAATTGTACCAAAAGTTTCAATACCACAAGTAGAAGGTTGGGATTCATTTTGGGGTATAAACTGCCCAAACCGTTCAGGAATTAGGGGCCAAAAAGGGTCTAAAACAAGCATTTTTCTAGTTTTCAGACAATAACTTGTGTTTAATTGTATGGATGTCTCTTATTAATTTGTACCACATTTTACAAAAAGAAAATTTCTTCAAAATTGGAGGGGGGTAAAAAAAAATTTTTTGGGGGGTTCAATTTTTTCCCACAAGATTTAAGAAATTGTCAATTTTCCAAAGAAAAAAAAATGGGTGTCACAATTTATTTTGCTAATTCTTTGTATATGGTCTGAAAATAGATTTACTAAGTATTGTGCAACAACAGTGTATAGCACAACAGCAAGAAATCTTCAATTGAATATAAATTCAAATCATACAACCAATTTAAAGTTCTTTGACTACATTTATTCTGTGTCAGAAACCTATAATGTGTCAAATATTTAATTACAATCCAAATTCAGACCTGTATCAAGCTTGAATATTGTGTCCAGTTTTGCCCCAACTGTTTAGGGTTGGACCTCTGCGGTCGTATCCAGCTGCGCTCGGCGAAGCAGTTTATTGTTATTTTACTTTTTTCCATTTGGACATTTACTCCTTTCCTCGAATCTTTCACAATCAAATAACTTTAAAATGATTTTCGGAATTAGAAATAAAACCTTCAATTCACGGGGAAACCCAGTCACCTTGAATTTCTAATTTTAACACATCACTTTGATTGGCTTCTATTTTTGCATAATTTTATGTTTGGAATTCCAAATTTCGGGCAGTTTGCCAATCATATAATACAAGACAAAAGGATGTTTTGCATCTTGACTTTTTAGGGGAATCTTTGTAATCTCTATTTTTTAACAATAATCTACGTCGAAGTTTGTGTGAAATTGTAAACTAAACCAAAGAGGTGTCTGGTGATATAGTACTGTAGTACACGTTTCTTGTGTATGTTGTTAAAAATGGACTCGTCTATGGATGAAAAGAATCCTTTTTAAATTATTCTTGTAATACCCGTCCAGATGTCTGAGAATTTACAATGAGTATTCGTCTAATGCTTTTTTCAATCAGAGTGAAATACATAACTTTTCAACAAATGGTAAGAAAATAAATTTTCAAAACGATCTCTCTCCGCGAAGAATAAATGTATCTAGGTCATGACTCACACAGGTGTTTTGTGTATATACATTCGGAACACGATCATTTAAACAGGCGCGCGTCTTTCGATCTTTTTACATCTTTATAATAAAATAGAAACATCTAGTTTACAAATTTAAAAGAACATTTTATTACAATCACAAACTTTGTATACATTAACTTTTTTTAAGATGTCAAGGGCATGTATCGATAAAAATACTACCGAGACACGCACCTTTACAGATGTGTTTGGACGAATCTACTAAAATTACACACAGGGGATGGCAGGCAGTTGTTTATACGGCCGACAAGTACGTCGGTGATACACAGCTGTGGAAAATGTTAATTTGTTAATGATTTAGGAAATTCCGATTTATGTGTTATATACGTTAGGAAAGGTAAGTTTTCATTGCATTAGAAAACACTATTGGTCAATCTAAACAAACATAGGATGTTGATATTTGGGTGGAAACATAAAACTGATGTTTGAAAACCAATGTCGGCCATGATGAAACAGTGTGTGCTAAAAATATCCGCGGGAAAGGCGTTGCTTGTGTTGTGTCTATTCTGCAACGTAGTCACTTTATTACAAAGCACATAACATTGCATTTTTAAAAATAAAACAAAATAAACGGATTTTTTTTTTTACATAATTTTGTCTCGGCCCCCTCCCCCTTTCTGTGATTTGAAGAATTATAGTGACAGTCAATAGCAATTTGAGCCAGTGTTGTACACCAAAATATTTATCATGTTAATATTATCTTACGGTTTCCACGTAATGTTTTGTGGGCCGTTCTTCATCTTTTTCTGTAAGCATGTGCTTATACCTTTGATGTTGATTGGTCCCTTTGTATCTTATTACTTTGTTGTGTTTTTAGTCTTTATGACCAGCTATATGAGTTCACTTTAGTTCTGATTCAATAAACTAGACCCTGATACAATATGAACAGCAGTATTGTTAAGAAGACACAACCAAAGATACATGTATCTTGAAAAAATAAGAAGATTGCTAATGTCAGTAATGAGACAACTCTCCAACAGAGACGAAAAATGATGTTTGATGTTCACTTTGCAAGAATGCAGCTATATAAAATTAAGGAGATGTGGTATGATTGCCAATGAGGCAACAATCCACCAATAAACCAATACTTGTTCTTTCATTAACTCTACTACTTGAATGTCTTCATCATGCTAAGAATAATATTGATTGCAAGATTTAGATTTGACTCATATTTATTTATCAAGGCTTTTGAACAATTTCATAAACTGTGGAAAATGAATTTGTCGTTTAAAAAGTTTTTTAAAGAACTTTCTATGATATAATTCAAACAATTGTAAACTTAATTAATTTTGACCTTTTTGTCCTATCAGTTTTATGACTGTCTGTTTTACTTTCTGTCATCAGTATGCTCCACACAATTTGTCAATCTTTATCAAAACCAAAACATGTTTTTTACAGCTTAATATAAAGCAATAAATGAAAAAGAATCCAGGTGACTAATCTGTTCTACTTCTCACCGCTAAACCTTTTTGAAATTCTGAATTATACCCCTCTAAGACATGAGGGCATATATAGTAATGCACATGTTTGTATGCCACATCCTGTAGTATCCATATTATAAATGAACTACTGCTTGAAATTTATACCATAAAATACAGGTAAAGTTAGATTTTGATATTTTTGACATGTTCCTTTCAAGATTTATGCCCCTTACTGTAAAAGTTGAGATTTTCTTGGTTTCTAGATGATAATGATATTACTGTGTGACCAAATCTTTCAGTAATTTTAGCACAGTGTCATTATTCATAAATCAGTCAAGTTCAATTTTCATGGTATTGACATTTACCGTTAAAGAGTTATTCACCTTAATTACCTTTAAACTTTGATATATTTTTTTGGGTCCATGTGATAAGTTGATACAAAATCTTTTTATATTTTAATATAATATTACATAAATGAAACATAGAATATAGGTCACATTGGATTTTAATTGTGAATTTAAATTTCACATTTACTTTTTAAAGAGTTTTTCTTCAAGCAACAGTATCTTTGATCATTAGATCAATGAATTCTACCTTTCTGTTATATAAGTTGTTTTATCCCACATGAGGCAAAATTATGTCTGTTACTGCTTACTGAAAGACATTCAGATTTATATTTTATTTCCTTGCCAAAAAATATTATGATAGAAATAACCTTTCCATTTTTTCTAGAGTAGAAAAAAATCAATTTCCACTGACTAAATTAGTCAAATTTTGAAAAAACAAGCATTCTGAGAGTATTGGAACAAAATGCTAACTTGATCTATAACTTGTCATAGTGTAAACTATATAACAAATATCAAGTCAATATCTTCAAGAATGACGAAAAGAAGCGTTGAAAACTGATTAAGTGAATTTTCTAAGTCCAAGGACCTTAACTCTGCACAAAATCATCAGACCGGAACAAAATTTGATCTTGATCTGTAACTTGTCATGATAAAACTATATACCAATTATCAAATCAATATATTCAAGCATGACGAAAAAAAGTGCAGAAAATTGATTATTTGAGTGAATTTTCTAAGTCCAAGGACCATAACTCTGCACAAAATCATCAGACCGCAACAAAATTCGAACTTGATCTGTAACTTGTCATGATATGACAATACACCAAATATCAAATCAATATCTCCAAGCACAAAGAAAAAAAGTATGGAAAACTGATTATCCGGACTGACAGATGGACGGACAGAGTGCAATCCTAAAGTCCCCTCGACTTCTTCGGTAGGGGACTAAAAATTGCCAAAACCAAGTGAAAAAGTTTTCATATCTTTGGAAATAGATAAAGTTCCATGCATAAGTTACCAGCTTCCTGGTGTAAATTGGGATCGCCTTGGAGAAAACGTGCGATTTCCCTGATTTTGTTACCAAAAAGAAAAGAAAAATTGTCAATCTACATGATCTTTCCAACTATTTTTTGGCAGGAGGCAGAACTAAAATTAATGGTACAAGAATGCATAAGTGTTTGTCAATTAATGAACATTGTATACACAGTCTTCACGATAAACTTTTAGATCTATAGGCCCGGAAGTAAATTTTTGGAAAAATTTAGTTAGATTCTGCTGGCCTGTAGATATGATTTTTACAGGCCCTAGAGCAATTTTACAAGCCTGGGCTGCTGGGCCTGTGGTTCAGTGTGAAGACTGTATACAATTAAAAAATGGTCTTCCTTTACAGGTATACATCTATCCTAACTATACAGTGTGTACAAATAATGCAGCGAAGAGTTGATGAGCAGGTTAGTGATAGGATAAGTCTGGTATTCATAAATATTATACTTTTACTGAATATTATTAAGTTAGTCAACCTGTAAATTACTTAAAAACTTCTAAGTCATGTAAATGGAAAATATGTGAGGACACACATACAAATATATTAGTCAAACCTGCTGTAAATGTCACAGGTCTCTATATACACATGTACATGACAAAGCGACTACCTGTCTCGTCAGGTCATCTTTCTCTTGTCCTGCTGTAATATTTATTACAGGATATCTCTGGGTCAATTTTCTATTCCACCACCTCTTTCGCCAAAACAATATATTTTTCACCACTTTTGATTGATTTTTTTCGCCAACTAACATAAACATATTTTTGTTTGAAATTTTCCTTCTTTCTAACCAAAAAAAAACAGTTGGCCGCATTTTGTTGTCCATGATAATTCTTCAATTTTTTATTTAATCTACATTGTAAAAAATACACTAAACATTTTAAAAGATACTGTAAAATTGCAATATAGATCATTAAATCGTCTTTTTTATACGACTGCAAAAAAATTTGCGGTAGTATATTGGTATGATGTTGTTGTCGTCGTCCGAAGACACATTGGTTTTTCGCACTATAACTTTTGTTAAAGTGAATGGATCTCTATGAAATTTTACCATAAGGTTAAATACCATAAAAGGAAGGTTGGGATTGATTTTGGGGGTAATGGTACCAACAGTTAAGGAATTAGGGGCCAAAAATAAGCATTTTCTAGTTTCCAGACAATAACTTGTGGAACGGTGTATGGATCTCTCTGAAATTATACCACAAGTTTCCATACCACAAAGGGATGGTTAGGATTTGCTTTGGGGGGTTATGGCTCAAACCGTTTAGGAATTAGGGGCTTAAAAGTACACTATTCTGTTTATCGTGTTTATGAAATTCAGTGTTTCTCATTAAATAGATATATAAATTTAACAAAGTTAAGCTGGGACATAATTTATTTTTATTAGTGTAATAGTCCCAGAGTGAAGCAACTTAAATCAATAAATTGAAATAATGCATATTCACGGAAATATATACATTAATCAAACAGATCTAACCAAAAGTCTGTTAATGCGTGTGGAATGCGTAATCTTCTGTCAGTTGTGCCATTCGTGCGTCCGTAGTTATTATCGTAAGAATACGGATTTCGGTCATAGCTGGTCTGTTTCCGATGAATCCCACCTCATATTCGTAGTTCGTACAAATATTTCAATGGCGGACAAAGAATATTTACAAAAATAAACGTTGTTTGACAAACTATTTGGAAAGGAATATATGACGTTTTTTAATGCAATAAATGGATTATAAATTTACTGAAGGCAACTTTCATCATGTTCTAATGAAGTAACAAACTTATTTTGTCGAAAATTAGAATGATTTGATCAAGGATTTGTATACTATACAAATCCTTGATTTGATGTACGCTCTCGAGTAACAAGTACCGGAAGTGATAAAAAAATTGTCTTTATGAAATAACACGCAACAAACTGTAAATTCAATGCTTTAACTTCTTTTCTGAAGAAAATAAATCGTTTATGTCTTTTAATTTCTTTACTTATAAATGAAAAATTGATGTTTCACCGACTTGGTAAAAATTTGTGCAGATGACGAAAGCGAGTATGGTGAACAACAGGGCGACTAGATTTCGCTTTTAATGGTTGGACAAAGCGAAGTGAAGGACGCGAGAGCGACTTTATCGCCCCAGTCGCCTGCTACCATGAGCCCTGAGACTGATTTATGAACTTGTAATTCAAATGATCATGTGAAGACTGTCATGACTATCTTGCTTGATCCACATGGTTTAAACAGTAACATACACATGTAAATACTTTTTGTAGAGCATATAAATTGAACCGTACACATGCCTTTAATTTTGTACAGACAATAACCTTTATTTTACAGCAACAGAGAAGAGTGTCAGCAGGAGAGCCACAATATCCCAGAGTTATTGCCCCTTCTGCACAGAGATTTGAAGGAGGAGATAACCTTATGTCTTTTCCACTACAGAATTTTCCGTGAGTAAAGATATTAGAAACTTAGCTGATATCTTACAATGTGGTATATAAATATTATACAGGACAATTCAATGTTTTTATTCTGGGGAGATAACTCTTGACAAGGTATACTTGGGTTTTAGGTAGAAATTTTTTACAATTTGATACTGACACTGATATTGATACATTATCGTGAACTCCATTTTGATACTGCAACTTGTTCATAAGAGATAATGGAGTAATTTTGTAAGTAATGTTTCGGCATAATTTTTTTTCATTATGACCATAGCTCTTCACAGGCCTTCCCCAGTTGTTGTATAAACTTTTGTTTATTTTCCATTAAAGATTGAACCAAGGGGGTGGAATGCACCCTGGCCAGGCACCAAATGCCCACCATGGAGTTCAGCAACCAGCACATCAACAAACTCCTAATCAGTCAGCCATACCACAGGTCATTCAGCCGCCTCAGGTAAGTCCCTTATTAATAGGTGAGAGTCAGTTACCTGTTTGTAACCAAGGTTTTTCTTTGATAAATAATAAAAAGAGAGATAAGTGACTAAAATATTCTTACTATCAACTACTGTTGAGAAATAAAAGGAGGTAATTTACCTAACTTTGTTAAGAAGGAAAAGGGAGATAATCTTCCTAATTTTGTTAATGAAAGGGAGATAATCTACATAACTTTGTTAAGAAGGAAAAGGGAGATGATCTACATAACTTTGTTAAGAATGGTAACTGACTTCAATCTCACTGTTCACTGCTGATAGACTATTAGGAACATGCAATGATTATTTTTGTAAATTTTATCCATATCCATTGCTGTTAGAGAGTTTATTTTGCAGCATGCAGTAACTTGTATTGCTTATATTTATACTCTTGCTTGTAAGCATGCCTTTATATAAAAATTCAGACTAATGAGTAAAATTTAAGTTTTCTACAAAGTAGAGACAAGTGTGTTGTTTTGGTCTCGTCTCTACAAAGTAGTGGAGGTGAGACTTGGGTGTGTTGTTACAGGCAGCTTCAACAATTTGTTTTGTGTTTGTGATTAGGTCAGTTTAAGGGGAACCACTAATGGCAAGTCAATGATATTTGGTATGCAGTTGTATTAGCATTGGTACATCTCAATTTCAAGGAGATCTTTTAGTGTAAACAATACTTTATTGTGATATTATAACATAAACATTACAAATATGACAGTTTTATTATGATTGGAAAACAAATGAATTATCACTTTTACAAATTCCTATGCCTGGTCCAGTTGAGTTATCCAATTTAAGGAGATTATTTGGCCCTGTCCCCTTAGTCATAGTCTGTTGATTTGGAAACTTTTGCTTAATTTAAATTTGTGATTAGGTCAGTTTAAGGGAAACCATTAAAAATCAATGATATTTGGTACGCATTAGTATTATCGTTTGGCACATCTCATTTTCATGGAGATTACATGGCCCCATTCCTTTGGTCATGATCTATTGACGTTGGAACCATGTACTTGTTTGTGAATAGATCAGTTTTAAGGTAACCAAATATTATAAGTCAAAGATATTTGTTATGCTGTTGTATCAGCATTAACATATCTCATTTCCAGTGAGATTATTTGGCCCTGCACCTTCAGTCATGGTTCATTGATTTTGAATGTTTTGCATAGTTTACATGTTAAGTAGTGCCATTTTAATTTCAAAATTTGCATTTTGCTGTCTAAATGACATACAGGCGAGACATATCTCTGTTTCAACAATTTATTTATTTATCATGTGTTATTGTAATGAATGGTTTGTAAACAACTTCTTGTATTATGCAATGGAGAGATTTAGTCTATTCTACTGTTATGTGTATAAATTTTCATTAATATTTTATTTGCACTTATTTTATAATTAATATCAAATCACAAAAGTAGCCCTGGCATTAATTTGACACAGAAGATTAAAATCAGACCAGTAAAATGTGAAAATAAAAAAAGAAGACCAACAAGTTTGCTTTTTCAAATCACAAAATTTAATCTCCCTGAAAAATAGCCATTTTATATTACTTTATGTAATTGCTTTGCTGTGTATGTTATATCATAGATTTCCTCCATAAACGGCATAGATATAGTTATTTATCATGATTTATCTTCTGTTACCATAATACTGAGAGATTTAACAACGATAGTTTTGGTTTTCCAAAGTCTGATCACATACATTATTATAGAAACATGTGTAGTGCACAAAGAAACTGGTAATGACAAGTTTGAAAGAGTATGACATATCTTTTTTTCTACCTTTCTTGTTTTGTTTATTTGAAGGATGACAAACACAAAGCTATAGTCATTCAAACAGATCCAAAACAAGACACTGCTGTGAGTTATGTCCCTTAGATTGGAGGATAACTTCCTGTATACAATGGAGGATGGATATCAGATTCTTTTCCTTGTGCTTTTTAGGGGGTCGGACAATTAATGGTGTTCTTTGAAATATGATACAACTTTCATTTTCTACTAATATGTATAATAGTTAGAAAACATAAATAATGAAGGTGGTGGACAGGTCAGCCTGACTGATATTTCTTCCTCACTTAAGAGCAACCTCCCCAGTTAACCCTCTAAATGATATTTTTCTATGACTAGTTTTGAGAAAAAAGGTGCTGAATTGCGAAATAATTATAGGAAGGGTGTATACCGTATTTAGTTTTGATCAAATGTATTTGGTAATGAAAATATTTTGAACACATGAATTAGTATAAATTTCTTCTTTTTCAAGATTTACATAGATAAAGCCATTTTGACTATGTATTAAGAAATGATATTCATCCTCTCCATTTGTATGTGACCTTTGCCTAATCTAATAAGTCTTTAGTTCACCTTTCACCTTCTGATCTGTTAAAATAGTCACGATAGTACAACTCTATGGCTGAAAAAAATACCATATTTAACTGTCATAAAGGTAATAGTTGTACTTCATCTAAAAACCTCTCTGTCATAACATTTTCTTAAATACTTTCTAACACACAGTGTGTCTGTTTTTACACTTGCAATGGCATAGTGAAATATTAACCAGTATTATCTAACCCTAAACTTATTGGAGAAATCAGGATCATGTTTGCAGTAAAGCTTTCTAAACAATTCTAATCCATTTTGATGTTGCAGTGAGATGGATATTTTATATAATATGAGCTGCGTTGGATAGAACTCAACCTTATGCAAATGAATATCAATACATCTGTTAACTTATTTCGGGTTGAAAAAATCTCTATGCAAATCTGTAACTGTTTGAAAATTAGGTTGATATAGAAACCCTACAAAACAGTCAAAAATTCATCTTTTATTTCGTTTTTGAATGTTCCAAAATAAATCAAAGTCATATACATGTACATATATACGTGCACTTGCATAAGGTCGATTTCTGTCAGACGCACCTCATTTGTTATAATTGTTTGTGCCTCACAGAAAATCAAGGTATTTTTATGTTTATGATTGTCTACGGAATGATTAGGGAAAGGGGGAAAAAACTCACATTTTGTATGATTTTGACCGATTTTGTAAATTTTCTCTTTTGTTCTGTTTAGATAAATTTGTTTTAATAGTTTCCTCTCCTGTGTAACAATGGTGTAATGCAATATAATCCTCAGAAGTAATATTTGTACACACAAAAAACTTTCACAGTTATACATGTATGAGAGGTCAATTTGTACATTTATGTGTTTTTTTGTCATTTTAAAAAAATATTCATGTACATATAAGTCTAATAGAAGTTATTTGTGTAAGCTGACTTTAGTGGGGAATTAATGACATTTAAATACAAGATAATTATATGAAACTCACCAGTTATCACGCTGTTAGAATAAGAAAACAAATAAAAATATGGCAGAGTGTTATTTTTTATTAAAAATGTATTAAGAGGACGAGTAAGCTTATATGTTTACAACAGGAAGTGATTCATTTTGAGGTTTAGTCAAGAAATTACACATTGTTACAATCATGTCATTTCTTTATAGGCACATACAGCCCAAGTTCAAGGTCAACAGCAACAGTTTCAGAGGTTAAAGGTTGAGGATGCATTGTCTTACCTTGACCAGGTCAAGTTACAGTTTGGTAACCAACCACAAGTTTACAATGACTTTCTAGACATCATGAAGGAGTTCAAATCTCAATCGTAAGTAATATAAATAAGAAGATGTGGTATGAGTGCCAATGAGACAACTCTTTATCCAAGTCACAATGTATAAAAAGTTAACAATTATAGGTCAAAGTACGGCCTTCAACACGAAGCATTGGCTCACACCGAACAGCAAGCTATAGGGCCCCAAAATGACTTGCTTAAAACAATTCAAACAGGAAAAACAACTGTCTAACCTATATAAAAAAACAAGAAACACCTATGAACCACACCAATAACCACTGAAATTCAGGCTCCTTAATGATTGTTTATTGATATGTTAACTGCAAAGACGATTGGTTGTTACCAGGGCAAATTTACTGTCTGAAATCTGAATGTTATGATTTATGTTGAATAGTTTCTTGTTTATGTTGAAGGGAAGTTATATATAGACCACATTCACATTCATGCATCTTTCCAATGTATCAATGCTTATGTTATTAAGTCACAGTAAGAGTAATTTGTTCAATGACGTGATTGGCACCTAGCAGCACTCATTCATATAAAAGAAATGATATATACTGACTGATTAATCACAGTTAATGTTGTTATACAAGTTTTAACCCTGTTTACAACATCAACATAAAAGTATAACTGTCCATAATCAATTACAGAAAGATAACATTTATGTTAAATAAAGAAGGTAGTAATAAAAATAAAAAAATTGGAGTTGGAAAAAATATGAATAAGATTTGAAAAAAACAAGTCAGCCAGACAACCCAAAAATAAATTACAGAGCAGGTATTGTAATTTAGTTACAAAAATTGTTAATGATTTTTCTCAATGAACTCTGGGTGTTATATCTGAAATATCGTATCTCAGTATATCAAGAGTGCCATCACACCAAATCATCAGCAATCTACACTTTTCCAACAGTTTCACTTAGTACCAACAAATATTATTTTAACTGAATCACCTTTTATTGATTGTGTGTAAAATTTAATTATTGATCTGCATATTCAGTATAATAGTTAATGTTTGTACTTGTAGAATTGATACACCAGGAGTCATCAGTCGTGTGTCCAACTTGTTCAAAGGTCATCCGGATTTAATTGTGGGATTTAATACATTTCTTCCCCCAGGATATAAGATAGAAGTCCAGGCTAATGAAATAAATGTCCACCAGCCAGGACAACAAACTCTATGTATCCCAGTGTCAGGGGGACCGGTCAACCTTTCCTCGGTAAGATAACACTTTTTAAGAAGACGTTTTTTTCAAATTTCCTTTGGTAAGTTTGAATACTTTTGAGAAAGAATTATTAATTAAAAACTAGATTAAGTTTAATGACAGACAATTGAGATAATAAACAAATTCGTTTATGTATAAATGGTATAAAGTATAAACCATGGACAAAGTTTTATAATGTCTTCATCACTCTTGTTCATACAAAAGAATTATCTGTAAGTTTGTAGAAAGAAATGTATGTCTGTAGAATAAACTTGATTAAAACAAACTCATGAAAGATACTGGGCCGATGATTTTGTACGCCAGCCATGCTTTTGTCTACATTAGACTCATCGGTGGCGCTTCATGTTTTGTAGAATAAAGAGACATTTATGTCATTTTCATTTTAGAAAGTTCCTCCTCCAGCTCACATACCTAGCAGTCATAACCATAGCAACCAGTCATCTCACCATAGTTACCATCAATCACCTCGTCATAATCAGGAACCAGTTGTCCCTGGTAACCAGCATAGTACTCCAGTCCAACAACAGCAGCAGCAGGCTGGACAACCAGTCGAATTCAACCATGCAATAAATTATGTCAACAAAATAAAGGTACATTATATTATTTATTTATTATAACTAGTGGCACCTGGGGCTCTTTTCACTAAAAAAATCTTACAACTTATATTGATCGTAAGGTATACTGAAATGTTTAGTAACAAGTGTTTTTACTTGTAAGATTTTTTGTGAAATCAATCATTGTTGTATTTAATACTCTTTGTAGGTAAAAAAAAAAAAGTGATAAGTCACATTGGATAATGTCACAATTGAGAGAAAGATTATTTTACATGAGAATTACCACAGTTGACAGCAAATTCTAGCCTTTCTGTCATAAAACTTAACTCAGTACTTGTAGTACAAAATTTGTGTTGGAAACACCAAATCCAGTTTTTTCATTGGTTGATTTCTGAATTTGAGTACAAAAATTGTACTCGAAAGTTATATGACAGTCATAGTTTCTATATGATCAGTTTATAATCCAAAGACTATAAATATATTGGTATAATAGACCTTGGTAATGAATATTTAACAATGTAAAAAGTGTGAAAAGTTAATCAGGGTGAAGATAGGAGATTTACCTGCAAACAATATTGTGCATATTATCAAAGCAAAACTCAGTCTCTTTATTTATATCTATGCTGATTATTTTTTTACAGAATCGATTTCATGGTCAGCCAGAGATCTACAAAGCATTTCTAGAAATTCTTCACACTTATCAGAAAGAACAGAGGAATCTCAAAGAGGTATTGTACCAAGTAGATGATACAGATACATTGTAAATCAAGGAAAATGAAATGTTTCTGAATTTGCGGGATTTTGACATTTTTTGTCCCTTAATATTCCTCTACCATGTCTACCAAACTTTGAATTTTCATATTTGTCTGTAGTTTCATCTATGCATTGATGTAAATTTTCTAGCAATTAAATGACCTGAAGAAATTTTGTCGGAGTTTGATATCAAAGTAGACAGTAAAGCTGCCTCTGATTGAACAATAATAAAATTTTACACTTTATATTGACTTTGGTTTGCTTATTTGTGAATACCAAATGAATTTAATTCATATAAATGTTTTTATATTCATAGGGAATAGTGACGAGTTACAAGCCTCTGACAGAAGCAGAAGTTTATTCACAGGTTGCAAAGTTATTTCAAAACCAGGAAGACCTATTAGCTGAGTTTGGACAGTTCTTACCCGATGCCAATGGCTCATCTTATGGAGGCTATGTAATTATTACATTTTATATTGATTATAAAAGACAAGAGAGATTTTCATGAAATATAACATGAAAAAGTTGACTGTTTTTTATTTGAATATTGCTAGATTAAGATAAGATTTAGATAGTATGGTTTACCGTGGATTCATTTTTATTTGTTGGATACCAATATTTTATAGGTTTGTATGCCAATTTGGCAAAACCATGAAATCAAGTATCCACAAAATTACAATGGTTCTGCAATCAACGAAAATAAGTACCCCAGTATGAATCCACAGTAATAGTTAGTGGGAATAAGATTATGTTTTCATTTTAACATGAAATGTTGTTTGTTTTGTAAACAGAGATATCTTGGTGGTGTCTCTAATTCTCAATACCATTTTGGGGTTGGAATATAAAAAAATTATTACAGTAATTATTGTTTAAACCGTGCCATGGCGTTGTCAGTTTGTCTTCTGAGTTTGAATATCCCTTTGGTATTTTCCGCCTCTATTGGGAAACCTAATTTTATATTCCTCTTTTGACAACTTATCTTCATAACTCCATATTTGGTACATTTGTCTATTGTATAGCTTTCTTCCGTTTATTTGCAGTCTGCTTTTCAACAAAAAGTAAGACAAACTTTTGCCTTCTGTATAGTATAGGTTTAGACTTTGTTTTTAAAATAAAATATTATATTCTACAGATTCCTTGCTGGGAGTCAGCAATTGTTTCTTCATTGTTATATTTTAATTAACATTTGAAAAATATGCTATAAAAACACTCATCACTCGTAGTGATTATTCATTACAATTTTTATTTAAAGTTGAATATGCTACAGAATGACTCGGCACTAGGAGTCAGGAACGATCATTCATCTACAGTAAAGAAACCAGGCATGAAAAGTCAGATGAATAAATCCAGTCAGCATAGAAGGCCCTCTAGTGGACAACAGCCACCACAAAAGGTATGTCTAGATAGAAGCTAAGCACCTCCAGTGGCCAACAGCCACCTCAAAATCAAAGGTCTAGAAAAATGTTACAAGAAGTCAACAATTAAACCAAAAAAATGTATTGCTTGTATATATATACTGTTATAGTGAATAATTTCCATGGTGGTTATATTTGCAATTCCAATGTCTAAAACTTTCATGCTAGTATTTATTTTACTAATCAAACAACAAGGTAGCCTTCATATCAATATCATTTAGGGCTATTCCATTAAAATGTATGTGGGAGGGTAGGAAGGGAAGTTTAATTATTGAATGTGGGTCATGGGTCTTTTTTCAGTATGCATCTATTACCATTATGCAAAATTATCTAAAAAAAATGGTTCTTGGTTGTAGGGATATTTTGAAAGTCCCTTCCTACCCTCCCACATACATTTTAATGGAAAAGCCCTTATTTGTTCATACTATTTCCTTGTGATCTTTTCATGCATTTTACATTATGACCAAATAAGTGACAATAATCTTCATGTTTGTTGATCCATTAGGAAAAACACAAAAGGAAAAATTGTTCCAATGCTTCTTACTCTTCATGCATGAAAGCAGTTGTAAATTTAAAATGACTATAATGAATGAACTAGTTTCTTATTTTGCAGAAACAGAAGACTGGTACCCTGAAGGATATATCATTGGCTGAAGCAGGAAGATATGGAACACTTACTGAGTTTGCTTTCTTTGACAAGGTAGGATTTACACAAGATACAAGTTATTAGGGCTGTAAATTCATGTTTCAATCCTCACAAGTGGGAGATTGCAATAAAACCTTTTATCTTACCTCCTATACATTTCTAGGAATATGATTGGTTAAAAGTGACCGCGTGGAGACCGTGTATATTTCGTATGGGGTTAGTAGGCATGGTTTAATTTAATACACGGTTAGTAGTGTTGTTACATCCCTTTATAAAAACAACACAGCATTGAGGAAAAATCTGAAGTGGTTTCGCCCGGACAACAGATGAAATAATTGATGATGAACAATTGAAATAAATGCAGAAAACACATTAAAAGCTAATAAGTTGTTATTGTTGGCATTTGTTTTTGTATAGACCAATGGAAGTAGGTTCTTTATCTTGAAGACTTGATAACTTTGATTGGCCACTAGTCTGAATGCCACATATTAAGATAGCCGGTAAGATAAATTCGTAACACAGTGTGCTAGTGACCTCATACAAATTATATCTTATTAGGTCACAAGCACACTGTGTAACTAATATTATCCAGCAATAGACCTTCCTACTTATACAAATACAGGTGTACAGATAACTTGAATTGATATACGTATAGTATACATTTGTAGTCTCCTGGTATCCTGCTTCTGTTGCGAGCGAATGGTTATGTTCAAATTACTGTTTACGTCACAGTTTAATTTGGGGTCCTCGCCTTGATAGGCATTTTAGTCATGACAATTTAATTCATAATCAAATTCAATGGTTTGGAAGTAAAAAAATAAACTTTTAAGGTCAATGTTAGATTGCGGGGAAACAGCTGTTTTATTGCAGTTTTCATTCCAAATGACGAGCTTCAATTATTTATAATGTTTGTAGGTGCGTAAAGCATTGAAGTACCCTGAAGTATATGAGAACTTTTTACGATGCTTAGTACTGTTCAACCAGGAAGTAATATCCAGATCTGAGTTGGTGCAGTTAGTTCAAACTTTTCTTGTGTAAGTATATAATAGACAAAAAAAATTTGTAAGTACGGCAATTAGCTTGTAAGGTTAGTTATGTTTTCATTTTAACTTGATATGTTGGTTGTTTTATTTTTATAAACAAATTGCTTACTGTTTGGGTTTTGGAACAGAAAATAATGAACTTTGCTAAAACCAAATATTTTATTCTGCTTTAACAACTTCTCATCATATCTCAATTTGGAATTTTGTTTTTGACAAATAATTTACTAAATTTGTACCCTTTTTGGTGGCAACTTTGTTTTGGCAAACATTTCAGCAAATTTGCATCATTTTGGCCCATAGTTTGTTATTGACAAATAAGTCACATATGAGTGGTATAATTGCCAATGAGACAATTCTCCACCAGAGACCAAATTACATAGAAGTTAACAACTATAGGTCACTGTACGGCCTTTCACAATGAGCAAAACCCATACCACATATTCAGCTTTTATAGTTTGCATCATTTTGTCATTGAAGACGATTTTGATGAATTATGAGGTGAAATTCATTTTAGATTTAAACAAAATGTGAAAATATAAGGGTCAATCTGTTATTATTACGAGTTTATTTTGATCAGTGTACACAATCATCATACAATCATAATTTGCCATTATTCTAGTGTATAGTTCTGAAATTAGTTCATAAAGAAACACTTTTTGACTTAATATCATAAAAAATTATTTAAAGTCATATGTGTTTTGTCTTTTTCATTTTGACTTCTTGATTACTGAAAGACATTATTTGATCACATGAATTTTGTTCTAAGAAATATAACTCTATTATTCTTCTTCCATGTACTAAAGAATGGTTCAGGGTTGGAGATAAAATAAGGGTCAGTGAACTGATAACATACACCTTTTTTTGGCTTAAGTTACTCGCTCAATTTGTGATAGAATTTTCAATTTTTTCAGTAAATATCCAGAATTATATAAATGGTTTAAAGATTTCCTTGGTTATAAAGAATCTGGTGGAACTACAGAATCAATACCCATGGGAGCCACAGGGAAGGAAAGAGTTAGTGGTGATCTTGCTATGGAAATAGGTATGTTACAAAGTCTTTCTAAGTGGGAACTAGAGTCTAATGGTCTTACAATGGAAATGGCACATTATATAAAAATAAATGTAGCCATTTGTGATTTGGAGGTTACAAGACCATTCAGATGCACATTAGGTGCGAATCTTGTCTGAAAAGGGACAACTTGTTTTGTTTACAGATAAATCATTGAAATAAATGAATAAATAAATGTATTTTTGCTTCATTTATAGTATTTTGGGCTTGTTGAAGCCTATTTAGTAGTTAAAATGATTTATTATAAAGCGCGGGGGAGGGTATACTGTTTTACCTCTGTCTGTCCATCCATCCGTCCCATGAAAATTTTTCGTCGCATTTTTCTCAGGAACTACAATACAAGGATTTCTGAATTTTGGTTTCAGGGTTTATATAAGTCGGCTTTACTGTGTGATGCGTTTTCAGATTGATCACTCAACAACTTCCTGTTACCGAACACTTAATCATTTTACACAACACATCCAAGTTGAAAATTTTTGTCACATTTTTCTCAGGAACTACATTACAAGGATTTCTGAAATTTGGTTTCAGTGTTTATATCAGTCAGCTATACCGTGTGATGCGTTTTCAGATTCATCACTCAACAATTTCCTGTTTACCGTCAAATATTTGGGCTGGGGGTATCATCAGTGAGCAGTAGCTCGCAGTTTCACTTGTTTGCATTGAAAAGAATCATTTATTTGCATTGAAAAGAATTAACTCCAAATTAAGAAACTATTCCTTTTGAAAAAAAAATCAAAGGCAGGCGATATGGGCAATGGGGAGCAGCTCTCTTTATTATGGGATAGCTATGACACTGTCTAAAATTGACGACAGTTTTTTTATGACTGACGAAATTGAAAGTTGTTTTATTTTTTAGATTATGCAACATGTAAAAAGTATGGAACAAGTTACAGAGCTTTACCTAAATCTTATCCTCAGCCTAGATGTACTGGGAGGACGTCATTGTGTAAAGAGGTTAGTTTGGTAACTTACAATGTGATTAAGATTCCTAAACAGGCAAAGTTCAAAGCATGGATAAAATTAGTGCATATGGGTTAAGAAAAAATGGGAAAAGATATACTGTAGATTAATTATTACTCATGGTATACCAATTTCTTGGGTACATGTGACCCAAATATTTAAATGTTTATAGAATTACACAAATTTTCTATAGGCTTGTATGCAGACTTTGGCAAAACCTTGAAGTCAAATATCCACAAAGATGTATAAGTTTTCCTCTATCCATTAGAATTGGTTCCCACTAAAATTAAATGAATCCACAGTAGTTTGTTTGTTGATGTATACCTTTTTTGTGGACTTTGGCTATATCATGGCAGCTAGATTTTTAAAAATGGAGGAAGCAGGAGAGAACCTTCTACCTTCTGCAGGAAAACTGGCAATCTTTCACAGTATAAACTAGAGTCTATATAAATAAGAAGATGTGGTATGGGTGCCAATGAGACAACTGTCCTTCCAAGTCACAATGTGTAAAAAGTAAACAATTATAGGTCAAAGTACGGCCTTCAACAAGGAGCCTTGGCTCACACCGAACAGCAAGCTATAAAGGGCCCCAACAATTACTAGTGTAAAACAATTCAAACAGGAAAAACAACGGTCTAATCTATATAAAAAAATGAGAAACAAGAAACACTTATAAACCACTTTGCTAGGATAGTGGTCACTGTAGTTGACCACTCAACAACTGAGGCCACTAAATTGGTAGGGTAAAGAATAAACTGTTCAATCTGTAGGATTTATTTCAAAGCACCATTTAAGAAATGACTGTAATATTTTTTCTGTCTATGAAGAAATAACATCAAAAATGTGGCGCACACTGAATATCCCGCGTAGCGGGTTATTTTAAAGTGTGCACCACATTTTTTATGTTATTTCGAATAGACAGAAAAAATATTACAGTCTTTTCTTATAATTTAATTCTAAATTCCATTTTAAACCGGAGTAAACCACGAAAAAACGTTGATGACGTCACGGTCACATGACAAAATTATGTCTATGAGCTGATAAACAAAACAACGTCAGCCAATCAGAAGACGCGTTACATCCAAAATTAAATTATTCACTGATAAACAGAAAAGCACCATTCATTGATAAACAGAAAAGCACCATTCACCGATAAACAGGAAAGCACCATTCACCGATAAACAGGAAAGCACCATTCACCGATAAGCAGGAAAGCACCGTTGACTGATAAACAGGAAAGCACCATTCACTGATAAACAGATCAGTTGATCAGTCAATGAAATACAAACGTGTGGTAGCGATCAATGTACTCCTGATTTCGGTTTAAATGTTTGTTTAACTCTTGTTTCTCATTACAGGTATTAAACGACACATGGGTATCTTTCCCGTCATGGTCAGAAGACTCCACTTTCGTTACGTCAAGGAAAACACAATATGAGGAACATATATATAGATGTGAGGACGAACGGTTTGAAGTAAGTTTATGTGATTTTGACTTTGTTATATTGATTAAAAGAAGATTACAACAGTATTTGCAGATGAATATAAAATTCACTATGCAAAAATGGATGAAACTGAAAGATGAACTGTACATGCCATGAAAAATATGTGGATGGGACTTTAAGGTGTCTTTATAAAGTTTTTAGATAAATGAGAATAATCTGAAAGTACTTTATTCAAACAATGTGAAGAAAATTTTCATTAATTATTTATCAGTTTTTGGGTAAAGATTGCATGAAATGCAATCAAAACCCTATGGTACTGACTTGATATCTAAATCTTCCAAGGTTTATCACTACCTTTGAGATACACAAAATATAGTGCATTGATCATAACATTCTATACATCCTATTCATGAACATTTCCAGAAATTTATCAATGAAATATATGCTCAGATATTCAAGTCACAAAATGATGTTATACTTTCAAGAAAATTACATAAATTTTGCAAGGTGCAGGAAACTAATATCTGTTCTAAAAATATCAATGATGCCATTGTTAAAGTCATCTTTAAGAATTGGAGTTATCTTCCTTTGTCCAGAATTGTAGTTGAATCAACTACAACCAATGCTTTATACAATGCAATATTTAATTTTACTTCCAACTGATAAATTAAAGCAATCTTTACCCTTCAATGCTAACAAGCACTTTGATTTAAAGATTTTACAAGTGCCCCTGGTTTAACTGTTATTAACATCAATGGGGACCTGAAGTAGATGTGTAGTAACATTAAATATTGAGCTTTATGCAAGTCTGATGCAAAGGGATGTGAATTCATCCAAGAGAAATTCTTAAAGTGGGGCTATGACATTGTCACATTTTTTTCCATGCTGCGTTGTATTGGGCAAGTGCTTTTCAGGTCTGTGACACAACTCCTTCCAATGTTTTGAACTTTCAATATATTGATTGAGCTTGAATATTTTATCACACATTCCTCCAGTACGTCGTAACAGAATGTCTTCATATCTTGTCTTGAGCTTGACAGTGGTGACTTGAAATATGTATGCGCTCATTGGATATATCAGACTCCTACTTCTTGTTTTCCAAAACTTTGAATTACAAGCGTGGTATGCTTAACACAACATCCACTTATTGCTCTCTCCAATGACAAAAAGTTCCTAAAAATATATTTTATTTTTCCTTACAGTTAGACATAGTTATAGAGTCCAATTTATCTACAATTAAAGTGCTAGAAGGTGTTCAGAAGAAAATGTCTCGTATGAACTCTGAGGAAGCAGCTAAATTCCGTCTAGACAATACATTAGGTGGATCCTCTGAAGTTTTACATAGAAAAGCTATACAAAGGTAAGTGTCTATCTATGTCGTACAGGATTCTCAGAAGTTTTACAGACCAAAAATGAAATTAGAATTGATTTATGTTGCCTACCTACCCACCTAAAAAAAGTAGCCTACCTGAAACATGTTATGACACAAATCAGTTAAATTTTTTGTTTTAAGATTTTTCATGCTCTAATGTCCTTTTCTTGTCTAAAACATGTAACTTGTGATGTTTGCAAAAAAAAAATCCTACCTACCTGCCTAACCCTACAAGGCGTGGGCAACATTATACTGATATTGTTTTAAGGGCGGCCTAACCAAAAGTTTAAATTGTATTTCTATTGACAGGATATATGGTGACAAATCTCCAGATATTATTGATGGCCTCAAGAAAAATCCTGTTGTAGCTGTACCATTAGTGCTAAGAAGGTAAGAGTACTTCCCTTTGTATTATCTCCACTTGCTAGGTAAGCATCACTCCAAGAAGATTTCTCATCTGGGAAGTTCTGTTTTCAGAACTATTTGTATTTATTTTACAAAAAAAGACTGGTTGGATCTCTAAGAATGGAAGTGAACAGTATTTTACCCCAAGTTTTTTCAGTGGAGACAAATAAAACCTCAAATCAGAAATTCTTCTGTAAAGGAAAGTCTGTTTAATGTATGAATTGGTAAAAAATAGAGAGCTTGTAGTTTTAAAGAATGTAATACTGATAAATTAGTTCAGATCTGTTATGATAAAAATTTTCTAGTTTGCAATGAAAGTTTCGTAGATTGCTATGATAAAGTATGTTAAATCTATGTTTATAAATACATTTACAGTGCATTACAAATTTATTTTTATATTCAGATTAAAAGCAAAAGAAGAGGAATGGCGGGAAGCTCAGAAAAACTTTAACAAAGTGTGGCGAGAACAAAATGAAAAATATTATCTTAAATCTTTGGATCATCAGGGCATTAACTTTAAACAGAATGATGTAAAATCATTACGATCTAAGGCTTTGTTAAATGAAATAGAGACAATATATGATGAGGTTGGTATTTAATTTCAACCTTTTGAATATCAGGATTAAAATTTTGTACGCCAAAAGTCTTTTGAACTTTTAAAGTTTTTTTTCCATATTTCTAAATATTTTTATACCCATTGAACATAGAATTTTTTGTCAATGTATACTTTGCATGACATCGGGTTCAACTACTTGTTTATATTACAAGGTTGTTCAGATTTACTTACTTTTGTCTGAAGAATTTTTGTCAAGCCTGCGACTTTTGTCGCAAAAGTGAGACATAGCGATCCTACATTCCATCGGTGGCGTCCACAAATATTTACAAGCTTGTTTATGATCATAAAATAGTATCCAGAAGTAGATTTTGTAAAAAAAAAATCCAGTTTTCCATATATTACTTATAAATGGACTTAGTTTTATTGATGAATTAAGGGATAAATCATCAAGCAATGTAAGAATTATCTTCTTTATCATTTGTTCATTCAATAAATTTATGTTTCAACTCTTTTATAAATCTATAGATTTGATTGCATACTGTGTTCATTTTTTACAAGCATAACTTTTTTCATAAATTTCAAACGTTTTATTTCATTAACTGTAAATCTATTATGTGCATTCCCCTATCACACTGAAAACATAGACAACAGCAAAAGTAGGTGAGACTCTGGGTTTCCGCGGAACCCTTACAAATTTTTATATTTGTTCCCAGTACTAAACAGAATAGAAATACTGCAAAACTGGTTTCTAAGCTTTGCTTAAATAGTAGATGAAATTAGATACAATGTTTATGAAACTACATTTGAAAAACATGAATTTTCAGGATGTTCCAAAGAGGATGCTTTATAGTTACAAAATATTTATTGTAATTTCAGCGACAAGAACAGTATAATGAAAGTAGTAATGAACCGTGGAACCCACATTTAAGTTTACATCATAAAGATAAATCTATGTTAGAAGATGCAGCTTCATTAATTATTCATCATGTGAAACGACAGTCAGGTAATTCTAGGTTTTGGTGGGAAAGGGGGAGATAAAACTATGTTAGAAGATGCAACATCGTTAATTATTCATTATGTTAAACAACCGTCAGATAATTCTAGGTTTTGGTGGGAAAAGGGGGGGATAAAAGATCCAACATACACTTTGACATTTTAAATATAAATTTCTATCGGAAGATACACCCAGGCAATTCTTCGTTTTGGTGGGAAAGTGGGGGATAATAAATCTAACATACACTTTGACATTTCAAGGAGGAGATAATAGATCTGACATTCACTTTGCCATTTTAAAGGGGAGATAAAAGATTTGACATACACTTTGACATTTTAAAGATGAATCTATATTGGAAGATACACAAGTGTTCCATGTTTTGGTGGGAAAGGGGAGATATAGATCTGACATACATTTGACATTTTAACTTCTTATCTACCACAGTTACCTTTACAGTTCACTACTAGACACTGCTGATTAGTTAGCTACTGCAGCTTAATTGTAGGTTAACTACCAGAGATAATTTGCAGTTAGAGAATTTTTCACAAATTGTTACGGCTGTGTTATGAGTACTCTAATTAAATGTTTATTTAATCAGTATTTATTGTATATTAATTGAAAAATGAAACAAATACCAAATCAATTTCTTTCTTTTCCTTATCAAGCTTGAAAGCTGCCGTAAACGGATGTAAAAAGTTTTCAAATTATTTGTCCCTGTTTGGCTTCTTCATCCTCGGAAGACTCGCAATCTTGATCCGACAACTAAACTATCCCTTCCTATACTTCTAATTTTGCTTTCTAATTGCATAAATCCTTCAAATTCTTCACTTTCGCTATCCGATTTGAACAAAGAAGCCCATTCATCCGCCATTGTTTTAATCACATTCCGAACGTGTAAAATTCATCATAATTAAATGTAAACACACACAGTTTATAGAAAAGGAATGTATGAGTTGAAAGATTATTCATTTGTAAAACCGAATTTCATTGGTTCATTTCGGGATTCCCCAACAGTTTTGTCCAATCTAAAGGGTTTTAACAGTGGTATATTTTACGGAACTACGCAAGTGTATGTTTACAGTGGATCTATCAGTCACTGCGAATACACACTTGATTATGCAAGCGGATTTATCAGTCACTGCGTACAGAACGATGATAAAAACCGTGTATATATCCGTCAGTGGTAGATAAAGAGTTAAAGATACATAGAAAGTTTGATGTATGTTTTATTGTTATATTTCAGGGTTAGCGAAAGAACATAAACAAAGAATAAAGCAATTATTGAAACATTTCATTCCTGATTTATTTTATACTGCCAGAGGAGAGCTGAGTGACGATGAACGAGATGATGGTAAGTCTTTGTATAGAAGTTATTTATGTTACACTGAGCCAGGGGAACAGAGTAACTTTGAAAGGTACTAATGTAAGTCTTTTGATAGAAATTATTAAGAGCACAACAACCAGAAGCATATTTGATCTTCTTGCTTTGTTAAGAAGTGCAAGTTTTAATTAAAGTGGTCAGGGCCATATAGTTTTACCCTTATCTGTCATTCCACAACAAACAGTTAAACAGACTTTTTTTCTAGACACCTTCACATATTGAGCTGATTTTTAGTATATGAGTCTTCTATGATGAGTTACAGATCAAGTTTACCTTTGGTTCCACTCCCCTGATTTCTACCAAAACTACAGTCTTTGGACTTTGAAAATTCATGAAAATTACTGTTATACAGACTTTCATTCTCAAATTTCCACTCATAAAAATGGCTTTTAGCATTTTTTGGAAGTGGGGCCATTCTTGTTGTTCTGACTCATCTAGTCAGAAATTAAACCTATGTTAACTAGCTTGATTTTGCAAACGTGTGAAATTTCAGGTATATTTTTTTTTCTTGCAATGAAATCAAATTCTGACAATATTTCTTTGTGTAAATTTGATTTTAAGGGAATATCAAAATTCTCAAATTTCCACTCCTAAAAAAAGCTTTTTTTTGCAAGTTGGGCCATTTGTGTTGTTCTGACTCCTCTAGTCAGAATATCAAAGAAAACAGACTGGATAAATAAATAAGTTTGGTCCTATAACTTCAAAATTTGAACTAAATTAAGATAAACTACTTAACAGTAGAACAGTCTGCACCAAAATCTTTTCCGAATACTAGTCTGAAGACCAATATTTCTATATTTTTCTTATGTGTCTAAACAAAATTTTTATTAGTCCAAATAAAGATTGACTAGTCTAGGGCATCCGTCTAATGGCTAACGTTGCAGACTGGTAGAAGATATTCGTCAACCAAGCCCTGTTGTTATAATGCTTAAATCTGATACAATTACGAAAACATTTCTGTTTTGTAGAAGATGGTAGTGATCATGATGAAGAAAAAGAAGATATCAAAGACAAAGTGAAAGTAGAAAAAGAAGATAAAGTGAAAGTAGAAAATGAAAGTAAAGAAGAAGATAAAGAAAATGTCCCTGTTAAGGAGGAGTCGATGGAAGTAGATGCAGATGTAAAAACAGAAGAAGATTTGTTAAAAGAAGAGACACCAATGGTTAATGGAGACATTAATAATGAAGATTCAGATATGGATGATGTAAGAGTTATTTCCCTTGAAAAAAGATTTAGATTGATAGAAATTAAGTATATTTCTGCCTATGCAAGTTTTGAATTTTTTCTCCAATGGAAAAGTTAATAAAATTATAGTGCTTGCATCTTATCAGCTTTGTCCAGAAAATATTTTATAAAGATTTAAACCTGTTTCAGAAAGTAGTCATGGTGTGTGAATATATCTTTTCTACCTACAATTTTAGGGTCAAATGGAAATTAAATCATTTCAAAATATTGTGTTAATATATTGCTTTGCATAATGTAATGCTGCAGTGTTTGATTTTAAGTTTGCAATGAAAATTGTTGATAATGCTGGAATGCTGTTTAACTTCCAGTGGCAAATATTTCAGGCATATCTGGATGGGAACATTTGATATGAATATTAACCCTGCTTTGTATTAATCTGACAAGCTAAGCCAAATTTGATTGTGTTAGTTCACAAGGTAACATCATGTAGATAAACATGTAACCCTACCGAGGCACATTATTCTGACTCCAAACCGACCAGCCTTTGCTCCTACTCCAAATGCCACATGGATAATGGAAAAACAGCAAATACCAATTTTCAAGGTTTTAATATGATTCAGCCTTACCCACTACATACAACCGGCATTCCAGGCAAGCATGAGACACTATGTATATCCCGGCGAGGGAAGAACAAAAATTTGCAGATTTAACATTGTTGTGCTGATATTTAGAGTATACATGTGATATATATACATATATTTATTTTACAGGATGATGTGTATACATTAATGCATATAAACAATAACTGGTACCTATTTTTCCGACTCCACCATATATTGTGTGACCGGCTATACAAGATATACTCCTATTCAAATAAGATTGCTGCAGAGGAAGCACTTTGTCGGAAAGATCGAAAGGAATCAACGGCTATAGCTCTCAGACTAAAGGCCCCAAGTAAGTCTTCATACAACACCTTTAGCACTTATACATACAACAGCTATAGCTCTCAGACTGTAGGCCCAAAATTCTAGAAACAGAACTATATATATAAAAACTAGGAGCTTCAAAGAACACATTATTAATGATGTATGTACAATGGAAAAATACCAAAATTCAGACGAGATAAAGTATTCAGATATAGTATGATAATAAAGAGATGTAGCATGATTGCCAATAGGGGGAACTATCCACCAGAGACTAAAGGATAAGGATGTAAACAATTTTAAATATTTAAATTCAAGGCACAATTTCATCAAATAGGATCTCTCATAGGACAGAACTTTGAGTGAGGTCAAAAGTCTCCATATTAATTTCTAATTCCATTAAAAGGATGGAAAGAAAATTCTATATTTTGACATTTTGTTGGTTATTTGTGGCTGTATGCCCATTTGATTTATCCAAAACTACTCCCCAAGAAGTTATATTGGTTGTAGGAGGATTTTGGAAGACCTTTTCGACTCTCACATCCTTTTTAATATTTTAATAGAATAGCCTTAAGAAAGTACTAAACCAATAAAAATAAGAAAAGACCATTTGTTTTATATATGTATCATTTGTGTAATTTGGTGGGTTTGTAGGTGAAGTGGAACCTGATGAATATTACTCCTACTTCCTGGAAATGGTCAAAAGTTTACTGGACGGCAACATGGAACCTACTCAATACGAGGACCAGTTACGGGAGATGTACGGGATTCATGCCTACATAGCATTTACTATGGATAAATTGGTCCAGAACCTAGTCAGACAGGTAAGTAGTAGGAGTTAATATGGCAACATTAATTACAAGGACCACTTTCTACACAAAGTATTGCACTTGTACAATGTGGCCGTATACCTCCAACAATCCACTATTACTCATTATTTGTCTTAGTTGACTAGTAGCCATTTACTACCCATAGTTTTGTGATAGAATGTTATTTTTATCTGATGTTGGGGCAGTACATTCCTGGAGGCTGTTCTGGTCACATTCAAACAAATTCCACTGAATCAATGTTATTGCCCTGCAATGAGGCTGAGGGAGCCCTCTAGTTTTCACTTTGTCTGTCTGTCTGTCTGTCAACAATTTTTGTGAATTCAAAAAACTCCCCAAGTGTATGAAGTTTTACACAGATGCTGTCCATTTTTATGCCCTCGCCATAGCATCATCTGTGTCCCATGGACACATTCCCCATTTATTTGTGTGTAAACATTTGCAAAATCATTTAAAAAAAAAGTTTTTGAAAGAAAATTTGATAATCAACTTTGGGGAAAACTTAATAGGTCTTGTTAAAAAATCACAAATTTTAAGAAACATTTTTTTGTGATAGGATTTTGATGAAATTGATGTATTGGTTTAATATGCTAATATTCATTGATTTTTTGTGTCAAAAATTGAATATTGGTGGGGGGAATTGTGGTAAAAAATAATTTTTTATCAATTTTTTTTTTTGAGAAACAAAACTTAGAAGGCTGCTGCATTCCACTATTTAACCATTCACTTCCACAAGATCTTTTTACATTTAGGTACAAAATATGGTCTGTGAAGACACAAGCTGTAAAATCCATAGCATGTTCCAAGATGAGAGGAAGAATCGTGCCACTGGTGGCCGTGTAGCCACATACCACCAACGTTCCAATGCTGAATTGGCTTACCAGAAAGCTACAGAGCATTTACTGACAGATGAAAACTGCTTTAAGGCCATGCTGGTATAAATACTAAATCAATTAAGATATTACAACCTTCTACCTCTTATGTGATAAAATCCTTGTTAAATCTGATCGGTACTGTAAAAAAAACAATCCAAATAAAAGTAGAGGTTTTTTTGGGCATATCTTTGCTTTTGACTAATCACCCGAATCACAACAAATTCTTATTACAGCAGTCACAAAAATTGTTCACTTATTCACATTGTGAAGTTTCATTTTTATTTTAAATGGTGTTATAAGCATTTGTTTTGAGTTTAGCAAGACTATTAAATAAGACTTGTTTTAAAGTATGACTTCCAATCAGTATTAATTTGACATCCATTAACAGCTAAATTTTGATAGCTACATAATGATAATTCTATTTCAGTTTAAACGTGACTGTAAATTAACGTTAGAGTTATTGGACACTGAGCATGAGCAGTCAGATGATCCTGTCGAGGTCGAGCGATGGTCAGAGTATGTAGAGAAATATGTGGCTAACGATGACACGGTGTCGGAGGATCTAAAAGATCAACTTGCCAGAAAACCTGTGTTCTTACCAAGGTATTTACTAACATTAATTCTCTATTTTACTGACACAAATTGAATTTTGGCTAATATTACGTCCCAAAATTGGTTTCCGTTCTCTAACTTTAGTTTGCCTCAACCAAATGTTATGAAAATTATACACAATGCTCATTACCACAAAACTCAGATCAAGTAAAAATTTGGGTAGTGTTACTTTTACCGTTCTTCAGTTATGCCCCTTTATAAACATAAAAATTGCAGAATTTTTCGTTTCCATTTTCTATCAAGTTTGCCTCAACCAAATGTTATGAAACTTATACATAATGCTTATTACCACATAATACAGATCAAGTTGGAAATTGGGTGGCGTCACTTATACCGTTCTTGAGTTATGCCCCTTTATAAACATAAAATTGCTGAAATTTTCGTTTCCGTTCTCTAACTTTAGTTTGCCTCAACCAAATGCTATGAAACTTATACACAATGCTTATTACCACAAGACACACATCAAGTTTGAATTTTGGTGGTGTCACTTTAACCATTCTAGAGTTATGCCCCTTTTTATACGACCGCAAACAAATTTTTGTGGTCGTATATTGGTATGCCGTTGGCGTCGTCGTCGTCCGGCGTCGTCGTCCGAAGACGCATTAGTTTTCGCACTCTAACTTTAGTTTAAGTGAATGGATCTCTATGAAATTTTACCATAAGGTTCAATACCACAAAAGGAAGGTGGGGATTGATTTTGGGGGTTATGGTACCAACAGTTAAGAAATTAGGGGCCAAAAAGGGGCCAAAAATAAGCATTTTCTAGATTCCAGACAATAACTGTGGAACGGTGTATGGATCTCTCTGAAATTATACTACAAGTTTCCATACCACAAAGGGATGGTTAGGATTTGCTTTGGGGGGTTATTGCTCAAACCGTTTAAGAATTAGGGGCAAAAAAGGGGGAAAAACAAGGTTGTTCTCATTAATGGACAAATACTTTAGTACAAAACATAATTTAAAGCAGTGTAAGGGAGATAAATCAAATACATCATTGAAATTATCTCCCTTACACTGCTTTTAAATTATGTATAAAGTAATGGTTAATGAACAATTAAGATAATTTAAAACAGTGTAAGGGAGGTAATCCAAATACAACGCTTTGGTTACTTCCCTTACACTGCTTTTAAATTATGTTTAAAGAAATGCATATTTATAAAGGAAGACCAGTATGGCGCATTAGATTTGTAAAATCTTTGACCACATTTATTTATTTGTTTTCCCGAATCTAACCGTGTATTTAGATTTTTAATTTTGGGTCCAGTTTTCAAATTGGTCTACATTAAGGTCCAAAGGGTCCAAAATTAAACTTTGTTTGATTTTAACAAAAATTGAATATATGGGGTTCTTTGATATGCTGAATCTAAACATGTATTTAGATTTTTGATTTTTGGCCCAGTTTTCAAGTTGGTCCAAATTGGGGTCCAAAATTAAACTTTGTTTTATTTCAACAAAAATTGAATATATGGGGTTCTTTGATATGCTGCATCTAACCATGTATTTAGATTTTTTATTTGAGGACCCCGCTATCAAATTGGTTCATATTGAGGTCAAAAGGGTCCAAAATTAAACTTTGTTTGATTTCATCAAAAATTGAATTATTGGGGTTCTTTGATATGCTAAATCTAACCGTGTTTTTAGATATTTATTTTGGGTCCCGTTTTTTTTAATTGGTCTACATTAAGGTCCAAAGGGTCCAAAATTAAACTTAGTTTGATTTTAACAAAAATTGATTTCTTGGGGTTCTTTGATATGCTGAATCTAAACATGTGTTTAGATTTTTGATTATGGGACCAGTTTTCAAGTTTGTCCAAGTTGGGGTCCAAAATTAAACTTTGTTTGATTTGAACAAAAATTGAATATATGGGGTTCTTTGATATGCTGAATCTAACCATGTATTTTGATTTTGGACATTGGACCATAATAGGTAAATTAAAAAAATTGAAGTTCTTAGACCACATTCTTTCTGTGTCAGAAACCTATGCTGTGTCAAATATTTAATCACAATCCAAATTCAGAGCTGTATCAAGCTTGAATGTTGTGTCCATACTTGCCCCAACTGTTCAGGGTTCGACCTCTGCGGTCGTATCAAGCTGCGAAGCATTTTATTTTTCTAGGAGTTGTGCCCCTTTGAACTAAGAATTTTGGCCTAAATATACTACTGCAATAGTTGTCATCGCAACTCCTCTGAAACCACAAAACAGAATTTCATGATACTTTGTAGTTAATGAGGACACACTATGTAGATGTGCATATCGACAGGAAATTAGGACTCAATTTTTTTTCTAGGAGTAATGCCCCTTTAAATGTAGAATTTTGGCCTATACTGCCGTAACAGTTTGTCATCGCAACTCCTCTGAAACCGCACAACAGAATTTCATGACACATTGTAGTTAATGAGGACATAATATGCAGATGTGTATTTATCAGTTAACTTTTTAGGAGTTATAAGTCTTTGAACTTAGGAATCTGGTGAGATTTTGTTTGCCCAGTGACATTGTGAAGGTGTGGGGTATGTGAAGGTACTCACAAAGGTTCTTAAGTTATATCCTTATATCTCTTACAGAAATGTTCGACAATGGCGACAAAGGAACAAGAATGAGAAAAGGAAAGATGAAGAAGAACAGGAAGATGGTGGCTCCACCTCTCCCAAAGCTAATACCGATGACATGGACATTATGGACAACACAGAGTGTAAATTTAATGTCAACTCGTTTAAAATTGTCTACGTCGTCAACAGTGAATACTACCTCTATAAAAGGACAGCTCTTACTAAAGCTAGAGAGGTGAGTTAATAAAATGATCATATGTTGTACATAGGGGAGACTACGTTTGTAAACTTACAGCTCTTGAATTATACTATCAATCATAAGTTTATAAATTGCCAATAAACTGAAGACTTTGTTCTGATTTTTGTTAAACCTTATCCCACTAGATATGTGGCATTCAATTTAAAAATTGTAAGGTTGGGCAATTAAAAACGACCTTGAATTAAACTTGTGTTATCCACTCTGGTAAATTTTCCTCAAGAGGTCAATACTGGTAGATTCAATTCTAAAATGGTAAATACAAGAAGATAATATTTGATTTCAAGCAAAACCATTAGTTAGCTGAAAGGAATGATAGTAAATCTGTTATAAGCATCACTTAACTAACACACTATTTATCATTTCAGTCTCACAAGAGAGTGTCATTAAAGATGCATGAAAAGTTTGAAAACCTGGTGTCTAAGTGGCGAGAGGAAAATGTCACTGAAGACATGATGGAGAATAGCGAGCAATGGATTATGGGAGAAACGGGTGATGTCAGACCGAGTGAGACGACGAAACATCTTATATCAGACCACAACCGATCTCCTTACTACGATTATCATAAATACAAAGCTGTTTTCTTTAAAGAGTCAGAAACAGATGAATAAATGTTCTTACCTGATGAGTTTATTCAGTTAGGAAATCTGGTTATACGTTATAGATTGTGTTATTGCCTGAAATACTTTTTACAAGGACTATTCCATTTAAACTGAAAGGGGAGGGAGGGATAGAAAGTTTTATTTTTCAGAACATGGATCAGGGATCATTTACGGTTGTATGTCTAATTGATGTGTGCAAAATTATTGAAGAAAAGTATGCTGGTTGTAGGGGTACTTTAGAAGTCCCTTCGTTCACATTTTAATGGAATAGTCCTCCCTTCATACACATTTTAATGGAATAGTCCTAACAATGAAAGAGTTGACCTACCAAATTTAAGTATCATATCTTTTTACACAATTTGGTAAATATTCTGAATTGTTTATTACTTACCTCATAACTAAGAAAATGTTCTATATGTACTTCACAACTTTAGTTAACTTTTTGAATTACACTGCCAGAATGGCAAACATTAATTAAGGAAAAAATAAGAACTTGTTGAGTTTTGTGTTTTATTTTAGTTTATACAGAAATGAATTATGACTTCAGCTGTTAAAGTTTTCAATTCAAAGTATGTAAATATGAAGAGATTACTGTATTTGAAATATTTAACTGCATTATAGAAAACTACCAGCATTCAATAAATGTATGCATTGATATGGGTAAAGTACTGCTGCACCACAAACACTTCAGCCTCTTTTCAATATGGTATTCAATGCATTTGTTAAGAGTCAGAAGGCACTTTTAATCAACACCAAGCATAATTAATAATTTTCTCTGACTGTTCTGGACATTTTTCTAAAATGATTTTCCCTGCCATGCAGAATTGATTATTGTTCTGACCATTTTTCTAAAACTTTCCCCACCCATCAAATTTTGATAAAAGTGCTTATCACCTCCCCTCCTCATACAAACAGTTCTGGAACACCCCCTGGAATAAGAAACATTGCAGACAATATGTAAGGACGATTTGAAGACAAAATAATATTTACAGAGCTAATATCACTGCCATATCTCTGATCACATGACTGATAAAATGGCTGCAATCTCTTATAATATCATGTATGTTTCATATTTTAACTATGTTGATGATAATAAACTTAGGTTTGTCCCAAATAACGTATAAATTTATTAATGTTTCCATGTAAACCACCTGCTTACTACAACCTCCTGCTTACTACAACGGTTTGGTATTTTTTATGTCATCACATTATAATTGTTTGACATATGAAGACTGTAACACTCCACCCCAAAAGACATGTTGATAAATAGAATTGATTTTCAGTAACAGGAGACTTTATTTTTGAAATAATTCTAATTATACCTTTCTGGCATGCTAAACAAACACCAATACAGTAAATGAAAATAAAGAATGGCCCTGTCAGTAAAGATGGCATCAATCTGGTCAAAAAATTACTGAAGGCTGGTCAGTAATGTGAGGATGACCACTTATTTTGGTCTTAATATTGACTACCTTAAAGAAGTCAGGACATTATGTAATTCTATGTAAATATTGTGTGATAAATTGTAACATTAAACCAGTCAATAATGTAAATATTTGACCAATGAAATCTGTTTATTTATATGTTAGATAGACATTGTACATACCAGTTTTTACATTGAATCATCTTATCATTAATATCAAATTAAAAAAAATTACAATGTACAATTTGTTTTATTTATCAGTCCAGGATTCCTCCAAATGTATGAGGCAATTTGACATACAGTGCTAGACTGTAATTTTATTGGTCCAATAAATCCGTTCAATTAACATTTTGTCAAGGAAATACAAGGACGGAAAATACTTCCCACAAAAGGTATGAGGCAATTTGACATACAATGCTTGACTGTAATTTCATTGTTGCCATAAGTCTGTCCATTTAACACAGAAACACAAAAGAAAGACAACTATCCACCAGAGTTCAAATGAAGTGGATGTAAGAAGTCATAGGTCACCATATGTCCATCTATGTGTATAAACTTCCGAGTGCCGGAGGTGGTTGGCTTGACCCCTGGCTGTGTAAATCTGATAATTTTAATGGTATTTTGTATTTCTCTGCAGATCATGGAACATTTAAAAAGAAGAGCAGGTTGACTCTTGTGTCAGAATAATTTTTGATATAAGATATTATAAATGGGGTTCATTACTGTAAATTCAGAAATTATTGTGAGGTTTTTTATTAATTCCAATAATGTGACTGGTTTAGTATCCCAATAATAAGAACTTGCATTTTGATATCTGATACATAGTTCTAAATGAAGATTTTTCTGAAATTGCAATAATTAATCTCATTTTGATTCAATTATTGAAAATCACAATAATAAATCCACACAATAATTTCTGAATTTACAGTATGTATACTAGTAGTATAATGAAGCTTATCTTGACATCACATTAACATGTTGTCATATCAAATATACCTATAATACATGCCACTGGACATTAAGTAGACATTCATGATGTCCACACAGAACACACAACAAGAAACAGAGAAATATACCTATAATAGATGCCACTGGACATTAAGTAGACAGTGATATCCATACACAGAACACACAGCAAGAAACAGCTGCTAAAATGGACTGATGTTAATATCACTAAGTAAAAAAAGGATTGTATAACAAAGCCAGTGTCTGGGTGTCCCTTAGAAGACGGACATGTACAAATAACAACTTCTGTTTCGAAGGTCAGGTGTCATTTAGAAGACTGATGTAAAAATTACAACTTCTATATCCAAGGCTAAATATACCCTAGAACACGGACATGTACAAATTACAACTTCTGTATTAAAGGTCATAGAAGACTAGTAGCTGACGTAAAAATTACAACTTCTATATCAAGGCCACAAATACCCTACAACACGGACATGTACAATAAACTCGTCATAGATACCAGGATTGAAATTTTGTATTTGCGCCAGACGCTCATTTCGTCTACAAAAGATTCATCAGTGACGCTCGAATAAAAAAAGTTAACAAATTACAACTTCAGTATTTAAGGTCAAATGTCCCCTAGAAGACTGACGTAAAAGTTACAACTTCTATATCCAAGGCCAAATATACCCTAGAACACGGACATGTACAAATTACAACTTCTGTATTTAAGGTCAGATGTCCCCTAGAAGACTGACGTAAAAATTACAACTTCTATATCGTAAGGTCAAATGTACCCTAGAACACGGACATGTACAAGTTACAACTTCTGTATTAAAGGTCAGATGTCACCTAGAAGACTGACGTAAAAAAATACAACTTCTATATCCAAGGTCAAATGTACCCTAGAAGACGGACATGTACACATTACAAATTATGTACCCTAGATCGTATGTCCACTACAAGACAGACATATACAAAGTTTGTTTTTCTTTCGTTTTCCAAGATCAATATTGGTCAGTTGACATTGTTTTAGACTTAAAACTGAGGAGTCCTGACATTACACAAAATAAATAAGACAAGCTATATGCAGAAAAGATCAGTTGACACATATAATTGATTTAATATCAAAATTCGATTCTTCGTTGTTACCTATTTCAGTAACCTTATACAAAAAAAAAATCCAAGAAAGATGAAAATGATAGGCAAGGTAAAGGCACAGATGTTATACGTATTATGTTTCATTTGTTTTGCTTCCAAAGCGCCTGGGAAGTTATCTGTTTTCACTGCTTGTTTGTTGTTATACGTTGTTAACAATGATGCTACCACTTTTGGTCTTATCTTTGTTCCTGCCGTATGCATTTATGTTTTCGATACACGTCATTAAAAGACCAGAAACTAGTGACCTGAATGAACAGAAAAGGGAAGTTACAGGTATGTCAGTATGTTATAAAAAATCTTGATGATGTGTGAAAAAAATCCTATATAGATTTATAAAACCAAAGTTTGACTTTTAATTACTGTACTCGTCAATCGGAACCTACAAATGAATAAATATATAAAAATAGATGTTGTATGATTGCCAACGAGACAACTATTTACTAAGAGACCAGAGGACAATGGTCACCGTACGGCCATTCACAATGAGAAATAATAGTCCGATATTATGAGACAGATGCTACCTGTTAACGTCCCGAATGTTAAATTTTACAAGGTAACACGATGTTGGTCACATGTGCAGCAGGATCTGCCAACCCTTCCGGAGCACTTTTGTTGGGTTCGTGTTGCTAATATGATGTTTTGTGGCTTTGTTTGTCTTTTTGTCGTACTCGGTTTTCTCGTGAGTTTTGTGTGTATCCTTGTTGTCTTCCACCCATTTGTTACAAATACCTGAATACACATGCCATCATTTTTTCGGAAATCAGATATACATATTTGCGGAAAATCGTGTGCTCCTTTTTGGCGGAAATCAGATATACAAATTTTCAGGAATTGTAAACTTCTTTATTGTGTTTTACGTAAGAAAAAGTAAAACCAGAAAGTTAGTTGTTGACGGGTTTTCAGTACATTAGTGGTAAACATAGACCCAAGACCATCTTACATTTATGCCTCCGTCGGGGGTATATATATTTCTCTCATTCTTCGTCAATTTATCCCTTTCTGCACCCATTGTATAAAAAAAATTTAATCAACGTGTGGTTCGTTTGATCTCAGTTCTTCATTGGTTAAAATCCGATTATGACGTCGAATTTTCTTGCTTTCCTCTGAATTTCCTATTGTGACGGCATGAAAAAAGACGATCATGCCTGATGACGTCACATAGAAAGAACACATCTTTTTGCAGATCATTCAAAAAGAAGGAATAAGTTTGCCTGCATATTGTTTGAAAATCATAAGAGAAACAGATTCCACCACCAAATCTCGTGTAATACGATATTTATCCACTCTCGACAGTTAAATTTTAAATATTTAAAACGCTCGGCGAGCCTCGCGTTTTAAATTTGAAAATTTTACTGTCTCGAGTGGATAAATATCGTATCACACTCGATGCAGTGGTAGAATCTATATATATTTATTATATACTTAGTAGTAAATACAGATAAATTGTATGTGTAATACAATCATTGGCAAGCGTGCTGTATCAGCCACCCGTGATGATATCGATATCAGCACGGTTGCAAAGGATTTATCACACCTTTAATCTGTATGACTTCACGTCATCGATTGCAGTCACTGTTGCAAAGGCTTTATCAAACCCCTAATCTGTATGACGTCATGTCAATCCTATAATCTGTATGACGTCATTTCAAACCTACTTACCTGTATGACGTCATGTCACATAAAAAACATCTACGTGAGGTATATGTATATAATAAAGTTTCTCTAATTCTTCGTCAATTTATCCCATTCTGCACCCATTGTATAAAAAAAATTTAATCAACGTGTGGTTCGTTTGATCTCAGTTCTTCATTGGTTAAAATCCGATTATGACGTAGAATTTTCTTGCTTTCCTCTGAATTTCCTATTGTGACGGCATGAAAAAAGGCGACCATGCCTGATGACGTCACATAGAAAGAACACATCTTTTTGCAGATCATTCAAAAAGATGGAAGAAGTTTGCCTGCATATTGTTTGAAAATCATTAGAGAAACAGATTCCACCACCAAATCTCGTGTAATACGATATTTATCCACTCTCGACAGTTAAATTTTAAATATTTAAAACGCTCGGCGAGCCTCGCGTTTTAAATTTGAAAATTTAACTGTCTCGAGTGGATAAATATCGTATCACACTCGATGCAGTGGTAGAATCTATATGTATATGATATGGCTTTTTCGATATCACACACCGTATCAACCCTCAACCAATATAATCCCTTGAGCAAATAATATCAAAAAAGTAAATGAAATAACAACTAATCTGTTGTTATTGTCTAGGAGACAATATGATATCTATAAAATTACAACAAAATCAAATGACGATTTTGATACAATTATGGTCGGAAATTAATAATATAACAATTATAGCCTATTTATGAGGTCAATACAGGATATATCGACCCAAAGATGTATATCGACCTCGGACTTCGTCCTCAGTCAATATACTTCTTTCAGGTCAATATATCCTTGTATCGACCTCCTACAAAGGCTATAATTGTATAATATACCACTGAATCAAATAATCAACAGCCACCAATAGTAGACCAAAAATAAATGGATGAATGACCAGCGCTTAAACTTTATATCACGTGATATAACTTTCATATTCCTTAAATGTAACACACTGATTTTATATATTTGGTAGAAATTTATTCACATTTCTTGATCGGGAGCCGGGAAATATCGTTCCTATGATACTATATACCATATCATTGAAGCACGTAGAGAAAAATCTGCCGCTGTTGCCTTCTTTGCATATCGAAGTGGAAATCTTGGTACAAGCTCCCGCTTTGGTCGAACAGACAGTACTATTGTGTATGACCGTGATGATCTAAACATTGGGAATTCATACAACAGACATAACGGTATATTCACAGCGCCATCTATATACGGGTGTGTATTTGTTCCATGTTTCCACGGGCGTATGTTTTAAATCATTGGCAATAATTCAGTTAATGCAAAATGGGCGAATCAGAGATATTAGTATGCCTGATTCCTCCATGGATGGAGGTCACTTTAGGAATCAAGTAACAACAGCAACACCATTACATCTTGTAAAGGGGGATAGTGTCTACGTTCGCATTGGTCACGTATACATGGTGGACGTTGTATTGAAACTAACCGGGATATAAGAACCAATTTTTCTGGGGTCAAGATTCAGTAGAAAGATAATTGTTAGTATGAAGATTCTTAGATAAACGATACTGATTTTTATCTCTTTCATTTTTAAATTGAACTGGTGTTGGTTTATCGGTACCAGTCTCTTTTAGGGCAAGATAAGCCTATATGATGTATTCTGACACGTATTTATAACATCGGTACATAAAAATAGTATCTTTTGTTGTAAAAAATAAACTTTGAAAAGATTGAATATATAATTATAAGTGGAAAATTATGTAATTATTTGAAATCTGCCTGGCAGATTAGATCACATCTAATTAGTTGATTATTTGTCTATTGTAATATCTATTAATATTGTTCTCTGCTGTTTATTGTGTGTCACAATGTAAATATGTTGGTGTTGCTATAGCATGTAACTACTGCTTTGCAAATAAAGAATTCATTCATTCATTCAAGTGAGCTAACATTTAAGCGTAGTGTGATGTTCGGGATGACATTTGTTTGAATAGACGGCCGTTAAATAGGTCAAATAGTTCTCCGAAAGTTAAAAAAATATATATCTTTAAGGTCAAGTTAGAGTGATAGAGAGGCAAAAGATACCAAAGCGATATTCAAACTCATAAGTTGAAATTAAACAAACTGACAATGCCATGACAAAAAACTTAAAACGACGATAAGACAAACAGCAGTACATGTAGAAAACTATAGACTGAGTAGCACGAACCCCAACAAAAACAGGGCGTTATCTCAGGTACCGCATGATCGTCATTTGCAAAGAATTCCGCTCAAACCGGTTCTAGGGGCCGTCTTAAATTTGCAGTGAGTCGAGAGTTTTTGCTCCATGTTGATATTAAACATGATTTGATTGATTGAGTTAAAACATTGAACATATATACATTTATTAAAGAAAAGAACTGCGCAATATATATATATACATATATATATATAAGTGCCTATAAATAGCAGCACATGACATACAAATCTATGGGAGTGTGGATTAATCAGTACAGAGATTAATTCAATTACACAAATAAAATTATAGATTGCCTAACAATGTAATTTTAACACACTATTTAGTATGTAAATATAAGAATGTTTAAAATATTTACAAAATGATGAAAATAAACGCAATATTTCGCTAGACTAAATAGCTTTATCAAGCGTGCATCTATCCAGGTGAAATCGGATGTAGATGATAAGAAACTTTTGCAGCTCAATGTATATGTTGCACTTGAATTTAGCTGCCTTGAAAATAATACATAATTTGGATGAAGTTCAAGATTTTTACAAAATTGGTAGTTGAAGTTAGCAACGTCCATTGGCCAACGTTGCTAACTTCAATATATAACATACATATATATATATATATATATATATATATATACTGGTGAAAAAAAACCAGCAATATGGATTCCTCAGGTGTTGACATCTAATGTACCTAGACCTTATTCTAATTATAGAGAGAACATTTTAAAACCTCTTATCTTATCATCCGGAAAAACATACCAAATGATGTCAAGGAAACAAACGATTAAGATAATTTTTGAATCAAATGTTCAAAGTTTTATTTTAACTTAAAAAAAGATACCTATTATGCTAATTTTAAAATGATTCTTTCTATAACGAAGTTATATTTCCTTAAGAAGTATTTCTTTTTTTTTTCTTCTTTTTTTAATATGATAATTGATTTATTGGTCTAAAGCTGTTACAATAACCTTATTGCTACAGCTTTCACAAACAAGATACCCTGATATATTAATAGAATTATTTCTTCAACTCGAATTTGACCTAAAATCGTATAATGTATTGAGTTTACAGAGGTTTCTATATATAAAGGTCTCCATATCTTAATAAAGTGACTAATTCAGGGGATACTCGGCCAAATTCTGTAGGTTGAGTAATTTGTCATTACAGCAAAGAAAAGTGCAATAAAGATATTTTAGAGAGAAAAAAAATAAAGTGGTATACACATCTGTTTAATGAGAGTTTCAACCATGCATTCCTTAACCTCGGCGGAACTGGAGGGCTCCATGGGTTTGGAACAAAAAGGGTTCAATAAGATTGGTTCAATGAAGGTCTCCATGGGTTAGGTAAACTGTACTAAAAAGTCTCAATTAGATTGTTAATTTAAGTTAAATAAATCATTGTCATTGTTACATTTTGTGCCTGTCCCAAGTCAGAAACCTCTAGCCTTTGTTAGTCCTATGTGGGTTTTAATCCACCATTTTCAAAAAAAAGTAAATGCCTGTACCAAGTCAGGAATATGACAGTTGTTTTCCATTCGTTTGATGTGTTTGAGCTTTTGATTTTGTCATTTGATAAATGGAGTGTCCGTTTTGAATTTTTCTTGGAGTTCGGTATTTTTGTTATTTTACTTTTGATTAGTTTTTTCTGTCACCTATTTTAACATCGGAATCGGACTTAATTCTTATTTTAAACTGAGTTTTACTGTGTGTATTGCTGTGTTTCGATTACGTCAGACCGCAACTGGCTGCTGGCTTGGAACAGGAACATGACTTATGTCGTGGGGATAAACATGCTCGTACTGAGTACTGATCTGATGAGTCAGACCCGGAGAATTCATTTTTACAGTTTTTGCCTCGCCTGCGACGGCAGTCTTAGAATGCGAGACAATTGGGATCACTATCCAGCGGTGCCATCGTAAACCATTACTGTTTTATATTTCAGAGGATAGAAGATCTGGATGCTTTATACCTTGTAATCAGATGACTCATGTTACGAAATTTCGGGAAAATGTAGCATTTGTAATATATTTATACTTGTCTTCAAGAAGCATGTATCATTAGTTGATCTGTACAGGATTACATATGTTGAGAAACTAGTCTTTAATATAAAAAAATAAGTAGATGTGGTATGATTGCCAATGAGACAATTTTCCATCGGAGACCAAAGAATCAGGATGTGAACAACAATTAGTCCAAAATACGGCCTTCAACAATGAGCAAAACCCATACCGAATGGTAAACTATAGAAGATCCTGGCAATTAAGACAAAATGTAAAATTTACTAGTCAACAAAAGTAACGATACACAAGTTTGGACTCCAATTTATCATAAAATATAATAAATAAGAAAAAAATTGTTAAATTGTCCAATAAAAAAAAATTCATTTGCAAATTGCAAAGCAAATGCATATGATTAAAAGAATCTGACCAAATTGGAAAGTGAGAAAATACCGTGTTATTGAACATAGGGTCAAATTTATTTTGCGGAAAATGATTACAAAAGTCGGCACTTAATTTCAAAGATGAGAATTAAGTATTCAAATATCTGCAAAGGCATTCAAGATTTTAAGCAGACCATGTTTTAGTTTAAAGTTTTAAGTCCTAATATCGATTTTACGATTTTTGAAATAACAAAAATAGCAAAAATAAAATTCGCGTATTTGCCTTAAATCAATAGTTTTGATGAGAAAATAACACTCTGTAAATATTTGACCAATCGGGCAATTATTTACCTTGGTAGTGTATCCAATTTCATTATATATATGGAAAATGCATTGCCTTGTATCGTTTCTTTTGTTGACTAGTATATTTCAAAAGAGGAAACTTACCGCCAGACTTATGCTTAAAAACATAAACGAACATCAATTATGACAGACGGAAACAAACCACCACCACTGAATTACAGAATCCTTGGACATGCAAATTAGGAATGTGGCGGGGTTTAACTTGTTTGTAAGCGCTCAGCCCTCCCGTTATTCGGGACTATGGGGTAACAGCACAACATAATAACAAATTGTAAAAAAATGTTGTAAATGGCTTGATTCGTCACATAGGCACGAAGCACAAAAATAACTTAAAAAAGACAAAGACAAATAGTACCTTTCTTATACTAAAATATCCAAATCCCATAAAAATTTCTATATTTTCTAAGACTTATTCTTCCAGTGAAACAATGACCACGGAAAGTGTCCATACCATATATGCAGTTGAATAAAAAAAAGTACAGAGTAGTATTTAAACTTTAACGGGCATCCCATGGGAACAAAAAAGTGCTAAAGCTTCTTTTATTTGTATAACACATTTGAAGGTCTTTTTACACTAGACAATTCAGAAGTTCCTCTAATATGCCACACAACAACAGTAGTTCGGTCCACAGTGATCTGGTGATCCAGTGCACCCTCTTGGACCGAACCCATAGGTATGGAAGCCAACTAAACCAGTAGTCTGCATAACATCACTGGAATTATATTGGTCTGTGTAAACTTTGTAAGCATCGAAGCAGACAACTCTGAAATTGACAAAAAAAAATAAAAACGTTTAAGTCCTGCATTAAAGAAGTGGAAAAGTTCATTTGGCGCCGAATATAAATGAATGGTAAGATGTAGGGAATCGATTGACCGGTGATAACGGCATAGCAAGAGCTGCTGACCATAACCACAACACTCTGGAATATATTATATGTGTCATCGATAATATGTGTCACTTGTCGTAGCTACAATCAAGTCCACATTTTTCATTTAAGTGATTTATTACCGTTTTTTACTGGTCATAAGCATCACAAACGACGTGTGTCAATACATGAGCAAGTATTTTGGGGTAAGAACAATGAAATTACACACAATCCTTCAGTAACTTCATTGCCTGCGTTCATAAAACATAGATTGCTTACGTGTCTTTCTTATGGTAAATTGTGCCAACTATTGCATTTTTTGCATCTGAACACATTGCTTTGCAGTCCTTTGTAGTTTTCTCACAATCCCTTCTCAAAACAAACACGTGACCATTTGAATGACTTGCGCAGTAGGAATGTGCTGTTTTGTCAAAGGATGCATAATCCAATCCATTGATACAGCTTATAATGAAGATTGCTACAAATGAAAACATGTCTCCTATCAAATGAAGTATCAAACTATGACAATATATATAAGAGATTGTGTGAACAGATTAATAAATAGGTTCAGAAAAAGTTATTGACACAAGAGGCCTGAAAAATTTCATTGCCACGTGTTAAGCTTTACAAATAAAATGTAGTATAACGAAATGCGAGTTCTATATTTTAATTAGATTGCAAGCTTTAAGGTGTCCTGAATCTGTAACAACTGTTAAGACATTGCATTGTACAGAGCCTACCAAGCTTAATACATGACAGAAAAGCTAAATCAATATAGGCGGATCCAGGGGGCCCGGCCTCCCCCCCCCCCTTTTGTGGGAAAAATTTGGTTGATTATATAGGGAATCACTGAAGCATGACTGGAGCGGGCGCACCCCCCCCCCCCCCCTTTTAGGTCAGTCAGTGGGCCCCCTTACAAAAAGTTCTGGGTCCGCCACTGATTATTTAAATGACAACAATAACTAAAAAAAAATCAATTAACAGCCAAGAAACGAATTTTACCAATTTTGAAATTATAAGGCATGTTTCAGTTTTTATACATTCTTGGCTTTGATATATTCGTCTGTGAAAGTTCCTTGTGAAGGTAAACCCAGAGAAGTGCTTCGGACCCATGAATTATATAAAGTAATGTTTTGTATCAAAATCTAAACGTATTTTTTCATTTAAATTTTTTCTTAAAATGTCCTGTACCAAGTCAGGAAAATGGCCATTGTTATATTATAGTTCTTTTCTGTGTGTGTTGCATTTTAGTGTTGAGTTTCTGTTGTGTCGTTGTTCTCCTCTTATATTTGATGTGTTTCCCTCAATTTTAGTTTGTAACCCGGATTTGTTTTTTTCTCAATCGATTTATGAATTTCGAATAGCGGTATACTACTGTTGCCTTTATTTGTTCAGGTTGCTGCCTTGTTAACGTTTATCACATAGTCCCTTTTATAATTGGGACTTTTTTGATTGATTAATTGTTTACTGCTAATGATGTTATATTTTATTTAAAGTGATGAATAGGTTCTCCAAGTAAGGCTTGTTCTCAAAGTAATTAAGGCTTGTTCTCAAAGCACAACAACTGAACCAACAACAATAACTGAATTACAGGCTTGTTCTCAAAGTAAGGCTTGTTGTCTCATTGGCACTCATACCACATCTTCTTATATCTATCTTTGTACTTCTTAATAAAGTACTCACTCGGAGAAAGCAGATAATTGACGTCGAGACGTGCAGCTTCGATTTTGTGTATGGTGAAATACATCTATAACTAAGATTATGTAATACTGTTTTACTGTGGTTAAATCACACAATACTTCCACCCTCTTCTAATAGAAAATCAGTTATGAAGTTAACACTATATTAGTGGTATAAAATGCAAGAATAAAATATTTCAATTTAAAGAATCAGGATGTGTTCTGTCATACTTCGTGTGCATACCATAATGACTATCAAAATTTCTAATATAAATATTCTTATTCATATTCAGTTTGTTCTTATGTTGTGCTGTTGCACCACCGTCCCAGGTAAAAAAAAAGGGGGATCGAGCTCTCACAAACATGTTTAGCCCCGCCACATTCTATATGCGCCTGTTCCAAGTCAGGAGCCTGTAATTCAGTTGTTGTTGTTGGTTCATGTCTTTCATATATGTGTTCGTAAATTGTTTTGCTATAAATTAAGCCGTTAGTTTTCTCAATTGAATTGTTTCATATTTTTCATGTCGGGGCCTTTTATAGCCGACTATACGGTATGTTTTTTTCTCATGGTTAAAGACCTTACGGTTGCCTATAATTGCTTAAATCCACTTCATTTGAAATTTAGTGTATAGTTGTCTCATTGGAAATCATACCACATTTCCTTGTTTTCATATTACTACGTTTTTTTTTTATATTTTTTTCATTGAGAAACCCACACTAACCACAATGTCATTCTGTGCCCTGTAGATCCTTTAAACATGTCATTTATTTCACATATTTTACGTTGATTTATTTTCACGTGGAAAAGGTCAAGCTTTGATCTTCCACTTTGGCGAACAATTTGTGAAAGTTACGTTTGAAAATTTTATATTGATTTATCTTGTTTATTCATTTACTTTCTCGTGGATTAATTATTTATTTAATTTTTAGAACATATTCAATCAAAAACAATTAATGAATTGATTTTTTTTTGGTATCAATTCAGATATAATGTGATAGAGGTTTGACAATAGTGAACGAGCGAATATTAAAAGTTATTCAAAGCATGAAACAGATAATGTTTGTTTGTTTGCTATAAGTTCATGAGGTCTTGGATTTGTGGGGAGACGGCTCCTCAACTGACCGCTGACTGCCCTATTATGACTACTTTGAAGATAAAGAAAAGCAAACAAAGTTAATTTTCCTTCATGTAATGGTTATTTCTTACAATACATTTGTATTTCATAAGATAGGAAAGAAATATATTAAGATAAATGTAGTCAGGAGCCTGTAGTTCAGTGCATGGTTGCCGTTTGTTGGTATGGTTCATAGGTGTTTCTCATTTCTCGTTTTTATATAGATTAGACCGTTGTATTTCCTTTTTGATTTGTTTTACACTAGTCATTTCGGGGTCCTTTATAAGTGCTGTTCGGTGAGAGCCGAGGCTTCGCGTTGAAGGCCGTATTCTGACCTATAATTGTTAACTTTTTATACATTGTAACTTGTATGGGGAGTTGTCTCATTGGCACTCATACAACATCTTCTTATTTATAGTAAATACAATACAGATTTCATTAGTTTCCTATTGGTGTATAAACTATAAACTATAAAAATTAACTGAACTTACCAAAAAGAAACATGTTCAACAACACCACAACGAGATTCATTTTAAAAATATCACTGCAAGTACGCAAAAAAGTACGCCTAACTTTGTCGAGGAATATATTTTGTCTAATCTGCGCATATGTGTTGTGTATGTTTGTTGTAGTTTGATTGGTCGTTGCGGTAGTCGCACGCATGTGCAGGTAACTGATTCGATAAAAATGTTATTTAACATTTACCATGTAAATTGTATTATTAAAGAAATAACTATCCTACAAAAATGTGTTATAAAAAATGTCATAAAATAATATGATTTGATATGAATCAAAATAGATAAGGATATAGCGGCATTGTTTTAAAACCCTATACGTATATCGTAGGTTTTACTGTCGCAGATTGGCTGCACCTAACGACGCATTTATTATTTTAGATAGACAATAGAACTAATGTATCCATGACGTTAGCGATATTTTGATGTTTCCATATATTTTTTTCTCTCAACTGTGTATAACATATAAGCAAAAGAATTTTAACCACATCGTCTTATTTTTACATTATTATCTCATTAAATCTTCAATTTTTAAATGTTTTCGTTTGAAAGTTATGTAGATGTTACTAAGCTCTAAAGTATGTTATGTAACATATCCTGTTCAAGTGTGTGTGGTAATATATGACAAGTGATCAGTTTATATATGAATTGACTTTAATGGTATTTTCTGCTTCATATTAAGACTTGTACTTGTGCGACCTAAGTGATTGTCAGCAGCAGACTCCCATTCTTATACAATCCAAAAAAAGTTTCTAATTCTAAAAACTTTTTTTTACAATTTTAATACAACAGAATCAGGGTAGTAATGATAAGGACATAAAATATGTACTTCGGCGCAAAAAGTAAAATAACAAAAATACCGAACTCCAAGGAAAATTCAAAACTATCAAATGGCACTTTTGTCTATTGTTCTTATCTCGATGACGGCGCCTTAGGCACAGAAACATACCGATCTAATTTAGCCGTAAAAGCTATTGTTATAACAGTCTTCAAATTTACAATGTGTTTGATAAATGTTAATGCAAACGGAATATCTGATATTAATGATGACATAGTCTTGAAACGGGAACAGAGCTTGCCCTTGTAAAAACAGTGAAATTCCAGTAAAACACGGATATGATAGTAATTGTAATAACATGAGCAACCCGACGGGTGCCACATGTGGAGAAGAATCTGCTTACCTTTCCGGAGCACCTGAGATCACCCCCAGATTTTGGTGGGGTTCATGTTGCTCAGTCTTTAGTTTTCTTTGTTGTGTTTTGTGTACTATTGTTTGTTTAGTGATCTTTTTCTTTTTTAGCCATGGCGTTGTCTGTTTATTTTCGACATATGAGTTTGAATGTCACTGTTATCTTTCGCCCCTAGTTTAATTGATGACATAATTACCATATACTAATGATGTTTCCTGACAGTAGCACTATTAAATACATGAACTCAGTGGATGTGAAACCTTGAGCCAAAATTTACTTGTCTATGAGTTTGCATTAAAAATTCAGGATTAATGCGCTCCATGGTATACTAATTTAAGATTTCCAGAAAACCAGGGATTATTTTGGTAGTACCTGTGTTCCCAAGGTCAGATTTTTCTTATATGACTTTAAAGGTAGGTTGAAAATTGGCATGTAGAAAGGTGATACATGTACAATTCAGGATATACCTGGTTTCTAAGAAGTTAAACTTAAGGTAAAATATTACGAAAGCTGTGCAAATTGCAAAATTTGATTGAACAGATAGGGATTTTTAATTGGTGGTCTGACACCCAAATTAAACCGCAATCGGGAAGTTGATGTGTAAGTCATCACTTTATTCTAGCCTTTTCTTAATTGTAGTCAAACAAAATGTATAGTAAGTAAGTGATATAATCAGATGCACATTAATTGTTTTAATCATGTACTAGTATTGGAATGCATCTAAATATTTTTAAAGAGTATATTTCTCATCGAAAATGGGAGTCATACTTTATTTTTATAGTTACTTTAACTTAAAAGTATGTCAGGTTAGAACACAAAACAGATTAAAGTCACTATGCAAAGGAAAGTAAAGCAGTAATATATGATATATATTAAATAAAAGGCAAGAATATAGGATTAGTTTAATTCATGGGTAACTGAGATTGCCCTTTTCAGACTTTTCAGAAAGCCCTGCAACAGCAGTAGTTTGGTTCACAAATTTTCCCTGGGTAGGTACATCCTGCTGTACCATAACCGTCAGGCTGGGAATTCGAGGGATTGTCCCGGAGCTTGCTTTGACGTTTAACAATGTGGTATGCATCAAAGCAACTGACACTGAAATTTGAATATTGGGGAAAATGTATTGTATGGAGTAAGAACAGTTAGCAACATAATAAGCAAAGATCCTGCACTGATAGGGTCAATTATCGCTATTTTACGAATTTTTCCTTTGATTTTGTTGACTGATAATTTCCGTTCTCAGTTGAGTCGAGTGATATGAAAATTATCGCTAGAAACTAAGGGAACACGTGCCATTGTCAAGGAAATTAACAACGTCTTCATAGGTAAAATAGCGATAAACAGATTATCATTGGTCATCTCAACTCGATTGCTTTTCTCGCTTTCGCCGTACCGGCTCAAGCGAGAAAATCAAACTCGTTGAGATAACCAACGATAATCTATAATTCTTAAATGAAATGCATTGATATCATAATCATAATGGTGTGCATTTTTTTTTAGGAGGAACAACAATTCGCTAATGTATAGTTTGAAACAAGACTTTTTGTTTTTCTGCATGGAATTGAGGACAAAGTTTGCTCTCAGCATTTCAATCGATCTAGTAAGGTTTCTTCGGTCATATAGCGCCTTAGGTTTTGAGGTATTTATACATCCTTGATGTCATGGACTGGTTGGATGGTTAGATGTTTGGACTATAAGCGATCCTTATAAAAATAAATCCAGAAAAGCGCGTCATGCATGAAACTTATCAGAGGTAATTTTCATTTCCCAATACGGTTCACTCCGTTGCTGTATAGAGCTTCAGATCTGTCTATTTTTATTTTTGATACTTCTGATTTCTTATCTATTATTTTTTTTATATCATTTAATGTCTTTACTGTAAATTCTTTCATTAACCTTGGGTTACCTTTTATTAGTCAATGATCAAAAATGTAACATTTAAGTCATCAGACATATATCGAGTTTTAAATCTCTAAAATTCATTTAGCATACTCAAATCAAGATAAAAACAAAACAGGAACAACCGCATGAACTCCAAAAACATAGAGAGATGTGTGCGTCGACTAACTATCCTGATTGCACCTGTGCTAGTTCCCAATTCACATATAACCTGACTGGCCACGTTATTACCGATGACCTCAACATTGTCAATAACAGTTCCCTGCGAAACTGTGTTATCCAAAGGTCCGAAATATCGTGAGCCTAAATCCATCAATTGGAAATACAACTTCAAAATACTGATGGATTCAGTCGAGGATTATGCCAGGCAATGGGCTAATTGCTCGAAAGAAGACGAAGATACTTTTTCCGAATGGATTAAAGCTGTGAGGTCGTTGATACAAATCAGAATTAAGAAACTGAATGCGTCTATAAATACCCATGCTACGTCAATCTTTAAAGACCCAAATGTTGCAAAACACTTGTCCTACCTCCATGACAAATATGTTGTTTTCCCAGCAGAAAAAGTCCCAAACAACATCGTTTTTGTGTGTAAATCTCATTACATACACTGTTTGATAAATGAATTAGGTATTGACAATTCACTTGGAAACTCAACATATATCCCCACGACACTTACCAAAGAGGAAATCCTGGATAATCATAGGTCTGTTCTATGATCATTTGGAATTTCAACTAACGATGAAGAACTGGATCTTCCATCACTGTTTTGTATACCTAAACTACATAGGTGTCCTTACAAACAACGGTATATTGCTGGGTCTTCCAAGTGCTCCACGAAGCCTCTTTCTAAATTATTAACATCTATGTTATCAGTAATCAAAACCGGGCTTCAAAGTTATTGTGAAACTGCATATTTTAGGGGTGGCGTTAATCAGATGTGGATACTTAAAAATTCCAAAGATCTTTCAGAGTACATACAATCTAAGACTCTTTCATCTTGCAATAGTATTAAAACATTTGACTTTTCTACACTTTACACAAGTATTCCCCATTCTAAACTAAAAGACAAATTGAAAGAGTTGGTATTGCTTTGTTTCATAAAAAAGAATGGCCAACGTAGATACAAGAATCTTGTCTTGGGGAGGGATAAATCCTACTTTGTAAAGAATCACTCTGATTCAAACAAAATTTTTTATGAAACTGACATTATCAAGATGCTTGATTTCTTGATTGACAACATATTTGTAACGTTTGGAGGACGTGTTTTTCAACAAACTATCGGCATTCCCATGGGAACCAACTGTGCTCCTCTTCTTGTCGATTGTTCCTTTATTCTTATGAGGCGGACTTCATACAAAAACTTCTTAGTAAGAAAGAAAAGAAGTTAGCAATATCCTTTAACTTTACTTTCCGCTATAAAGATGATGTCCTCTCACTAAATAATTCAAAATTTGGTGACTATGTTGAACTCATCTATCCCATCGAACTAGAGATAAAGGATACAACAGATACAGTAAAGTCTGTCTCATATCTTGACTTACATCTAGAAATTGACAATGAGGGTTGGTTGAAAACAAAACTTTACGACAAAAGTGATGAAATCAGCTTCCCAATTGTGAACTTTCCATTTCTATGTAGCAACATTCCAGGAGCGCCTGCATACGGAATATATATCTCCAAATTGATATGATATTCCCGGGCTTGTATTTCCTATAATGATTTCCTTGATAGAGGATTGCTGCTCACAAGGAAGCTATAAAACCAAGAGTTCCAAATGGTAAAGTTGAAATCATCCCTTCGTAAATTTTACGGACGCCATCACGAGACGGAGTTGGTTGACCATTACGGAATATCCGTTTCACAGATGATATCGGATATGTTCCTAATGTCGTAACTACAATCCCGTTTCCTTTCCACGAATGTGATCTACCGAATTAGACTATTTACCGGGTTTGTAATAACATTAGCAACACGATGGGTGCCACATGTGGAGCAGGATTTGCTTACCCTTCCGGAGCACCTGAGAT